GGATGTTGTTCTATTGTGAGGATGGATGGTGAACCAATGTTGAAAAACAAGGATAACACAGGCGAGTCAAGACTGCTGCCATGAGTAACACCGCAAAAGGACAGGAGTCCTTAGTCCTTGCATATCCTCGCACAAATCTTATCAACGTGACTGACTTGACTGGCAGCTCAAGTTCCGATCGCTCAGCTACATCATAATCGGATGGTCTTTCAACCGTATATATATACCTACAGATCCAAGTACCTTCTCAGCAGGTCATTGGAGACACTGTTTTGTAGGTTTGGAGGGTCCAAGTACCTTGTGAGGTTCGGTACGACTGGATCCCTAGGGATGAGTATCCCTGCAAATGGATGGTCCCGCTCGGCCCAATTTCTCCCATATCCAAACATCCCACACATATGTCACACATGTGGTTGGATTTGCATACGCAAGAAAGGCAACAAAAAAGACACACATCTTCCGATTCCCCCATGTTCAGGGGAGCCACCCAGTTTGGGGAACATCCACATCACCTTGTTAAAACCAGATGTGCCACCCCTGCGCCTGTGGCGTCCTTTCTTTGTAACATATCGATCCCACCGAACGCAGCGTCCCAGGCCTAGTGGCATCCTGGTTGCCGGGATCAGACTCAAGGCGCTTCTCATGGTAGTCTGCAATGTGCTTCACCTCCGAGACGAGCGTCACCCGGGGCCGTTGTCGCGTCACGCTCCGTTGGGTCGGCGGTCGGTGGTCATGTCTTGTGTCGCGGAATTCGGAGGGGTTCTGGAGGGGTTGGAGGCGGCGTCGCTTCGAACGTGGGCTCCCTGTTGGGGGAAGATGTTCTGCCCCCCGACCACCGCGACCAAAGGGCGCTTCCTGAGTAACAGCGAGTTTCTGGGAGAGAAAGGTTGGTTTGGAAGGAGACACCCTCTTGATGCTTGATCCTCTCATCACCTCAAAACTCGGCATTGCATCTGTGAAAATTCATCTGGAGGTTTGTCAAAGCATGGTTTTAGCTCATCCAAGTCGTCTCATCACCCTTTCCACATCTGCAAACCCCCAACGCTTCATCCTCACCAAATCCATTGTATTGCCGATATATGCTCTCCCAGTGCACATCACACGCTCGTCCGTCCACCCAACGTGGTCTGAAGTGGTTGTCCGACCGGATCCTCCCGTTTCAGCGACACAGGGCGCGACACATCCGGCAACGGACTAGTCAATTAGAAGAAACGAATTGAACATCGATCGAATTGATCAACATCAGTGTGAATCCCCAACTCACTCCAGTGCTTCGGCATCCATGACTCTTCGTGCATCTGCTCCGTCTCTTCCGACAGGGTTTTGGGGGGGACCAGGTCGGTGTCTGGGCATGTTACGTTGCAAGGAGCAAAGACCGATCCTCGGCCGATCAAAGGAAAGGGTCACCAGGTTTCACTCCAAAAACACCGACCACCGAGGTCTCGACTCCGAGGCATCAGCTCGTCGTTCTCTTGTTCGTCCAAGGAGCGATTTCCACAGCTTCTTCGACTTCCACGGAGGTAATCTCTGAGGTCTCACCCGTGCTCGAGCCTGAAGGCACGTCCTCTATCGTCCCGATGGTCGGGGGTTTACTCAAGCGGAGGTGCCGCATGCTCCACGCTGGTTTGAGGGGGAGAAGTCTGGGACCTCAATGGACCTCTAAGCCACTGTCTCCACCACCAAACAAAGAACCAACTTGAGTAGCATGGGCAAAGATTTTGCCACGGCCATCTGGGTCAAACAGCCTGGAGCGACCTGGCCATATTTTTCTGCAGGGCTGCCGATTCTTCAGCTCAACATTGGCTAAACATGTAAAGCTTCAGAGCAAAGCAGACGACGATCAGGTGACATCAACATCACGATGTCCTCGCCGATGTCGTCGCTCTTCGAAGCAAAGTTCTCTTCTGGGCTTCCCGGCGCATCCAGGAATCCAAGAACTTGCTATAGACATCCACGACCTGTGCGGGACGCGTCGTTCACGTTCCACACAGCTGACCTGGTTCATGCGACCAGGGTGTGGAGATTGAAGAAGTTTTGAGACACAGTCGACGTGTGGATTGCAAGACCTCCAAATTCACCGCACGAGTAGACCGCCGGATTCGAGTTCAGGCGGTGTTCTTTTCTGGATGCTCCCAAGCACACGATACTGACGTACGTGTTGCCGGCCGCCTTGGTATAGAAGGCCACGGCGCGTTCCGCCTTTTGATGGCCTTAGAAGGGCGCAGAGCCATCGGCACTGTTAGATGGAGATTCATAAGACCATCCCTTCCTGTCCCTGGACCACTGGAGATCCCGGATAGTAGTGGCCCAGGTAGCTGAGTCAAGCTAGGACACCCCGCGAAACGGGATGGTCCTGGTCTATGAACCACTTCTTGAGCCCTCCTTCCCCTCGCCATCCCTCGCCCGCGTCGCCGGAAGACAAGGCACTCTGAAAGACGCGGCCCATGTGGAAGTAGGATGGAGCTGATCGAATATTTTCTGGTCCAAACTCCATGGAGGAATAGTAGATATCCTGGCTCTCAAAATTCTGGATGATGGTTTGAGTGGAACACCCGCTGTTTGGGTCTTATAGAGGAAACGTGGTGCTTATGCCATCTTGTGCCTTATGCCATGACAGGTGGTGAGACGATGAACCAAAACCACTTCTTTATACCCCAAACAGAACCCCTTGGATTTGCTTGTTCGGAAAGCCTGCATAAAAATACAAAACGAAATCAACAGCGGTTTGGGATTGTTTGGGGATTGATACCCAGGTGACCCAGGTTCGTGAAAATTCAACAATTAAATAACCTGCAGCGAAAACCGGAACCACTGGGACCGGCCACTTCTTTCACCTGGGTGGGAAGAAAATGCAACTCCAATCCATGCTGGCGAAGGGCGGTGGCGAAGGCTTGCAATGCCTGGCCGAGGACGACCCATGTGGTGAAGAGAGGGAAACCAGGTGAAGAGATGTAAAGGGAGGGTCATGGTTTTGGACGATTTTGTCGGTGTTCTTCACCAAGCAAAAGGTCAAGAGCTGCGCACATGAAAAGTAGGGCTATCAGCCGTGCAAAAGAAAGCTTTGGACGTGCCAAAAAGTGTTGTTTTTTGCCAAGAATGCCAACAACTATCACAAAAACCATCTAAACCCACCAACACCATCCAAAAGCTTCAGTTCATTGAGATGCATATTCTATCTTTCGAATTTATTCGATGCTGCCTGTCCTGGTCATCGCCACCGCCCTACCATCGCCAAGCATCGACCGTTTGGCCAACGCTCGACCGGCCTCGTTGTAGCGCTGCTGCGCGGCGTAGAGACGCCCGAAGTTCCGCTGCAGGTTCGACATCATCGAGCTGCTCGCCTGGTGACGAAACCCGAAGACGACCTCTGTCGGCGGTTGGTTGGTGTTTGTTCGGCCCAAAAGAAAACACAAGTGCTCTTTTGGGATGGAATTCCAAATCTCTCAGAGGATCCATGGCACAAAGCGTTGCCCTACATGAGCTACAGCCAAAACGTGCAAAGACCCACTGGAATCCGCCGATGTATATGGCCATCATCGGTGTCACCATGACTTACGAGGCTCGAAAAACGGTGATGCCCGTGACTTACGCATGGCTCTGGCGACCTACTTCGTTCGTTCCGTTTTTGCGATCCGGCGGCTCCAAGGCACGGCCCGAAGTCCAGCGGCATGTTGGAAGATTTAATTGGGCCAGAAACTACCCCTATGGATCCAGTCGTACCGAACCTCAGGTTCGGTACGACTGGACCCTCCTGGTACCTACATAGCGGTGTCGAACACATCACTTGCTGAGAAGGTACGACTGGATCCCTAGGGGACTGCAAGCTGGTGAGACACTCTTCTTTATGCCATGAAAAACACATCAAACTGGCAAACATCCGCGCCAGGTGCCTTGACTCAAACCATGGCTTCTGGACTTCTGGGTGGCAATTCATTAGCGTTTTAGTTGCTGCAGATTCTTCGGTCAAATGAATCCGCTATACTTGAACATCCTTACGGATCCGAACCAAGTCAGGGTCAAACATCACTTCTATCAGATCGTCCCTGTGGCGCCCGTCTTCCCCTTGTTCCCACTCAACTCGCACATGTCTGCCGACTCCAAGACCTATAGAAGAATCTTGAGACAACCTCCTGAATTTCGCGGCGGATGTCAGAGTTCGGGGAACTCCGAAACAACACCAGTTTACAAACACCTTCGGAATCCACCAGTCAGATTTCTCCGAAACCCCCACCTGTGGGTGCTTCAAGATGTTCCAGTTGGCTAAGGATAGGAACTCCTCCGCAATCTTTAAGCGTCGAAGTCCAAGGTTCGCCTGGATGGAGGCAGCGGAGGGAGTGCGTGTTCGGAAGTTCCTTCAGAACACCGGCACCAGGAGTGCATTGGGTGGCCAATCGGGACGAGCTCACCTCACCCAGGGGACGAGGTTATCGGTCTCTTTGGGTTGTCTAGACCGGACCTGAGGCAGCCAAAGTTCCTCTCCCCCGGCCGCCAATGGAAAATCAAGAACAACTCGTTTTGGTGCTGGAGATTGCCAACATCATGCTGCAACAATCGATTTGCCATTCATCATGTGTCGGTGTGTCTCTTTTTGCCGGAGCGCAGTAGAATGAGGCCATACATTGTATAGATTGGGGAGTGCTTAAGATTTAAAACATGTTTAAAACAACTTGGCTAAACTAACCCAAATGGGCGACTTGACCTGGCTGTGGGACATACAATAGTAAATGCTCGTTCAAGATTTAGAACGCACGAAGGTAGAAGATCCTGTTTAGGATGAACACCCACTGAATGCATTCCGGGCACTTCCAACTGTGACAAAATTCTGCCTTTTCATCCCCCAAAACTCAGCCAAGGTCGGCACACACTTGGCCTAGTTGGAAGATCCAGGTGACCTTTTCAGGCCTTCAAGCCTTGCGTTCCTTGAAGCAAAGAGTTGCTTGGCGCTTCCGCCCCTGCCGCTCTCTTGGAGCGGCAAACCTCAATGGGCACGATGGAGCCTCTAGTGATCTCTTTGGAGCCCCATGTCCTGGCCCTTGCATAGAACATACCCGTGTTCATCCTCATCCCCAACGAAATGGCCCAACATATCCCATCGCCGTGATGGAACAACGAGAACTGCAAAGGAACCGGAGTTGCTACGAGACATGCGCCGTTCGAAATGCACTGACCTTAGGTACGTACTCCAAATCGCTGTTGTCTCCATCTCCCCCGGCAGCGCACCAACCTGACCGGGCCCTGCGTTTTTCCTCAACTCTTGCCTGTTCACAGAACCGCCCCGCCTCTGCTAAGAGCAAATAGGAGGGCACCAGCTCTGAAGCCTCGGCGCCGAAGACATCAATGGCGAACTTCAAGCCTCGCATGTTGGGCGCTGCGAGGCAAAGTCACTCAGAAGGGTGGGAGGGGGCTGAGGTGATCACTTTCTGTGGGTGCAAGTGTTGAGAGAAGGTGGCGTCTAAGAGCCCCCTGTGATGGCAAGCTTTCTCCTTCGGGTGCCATACGGTGTCTTCCCAAGTCAGTTCGGTCGTGAAAGGAGCTGAGCGACCCGGCATCAATGTTCGTGGTTTGAAGCGACCCGGCCACCAAGCGACGCAGTAATCAAATGAACATCAATTGCAAGAAAGTGACACGTAGGCACTCGTTTTTCGCTGTTTTCTTCGTTCTCTTGGTGAGGACCCAGGTGAACAATTGACACAGGTATTGATGCAGGAATGCCGCATGAAGGTATAGATATCTACCGAATCTACTGGTGTACTTGTAACCTGAAACATCCTCGAAGCAACTCTAAGAAGTGCCTCCTGACACTACACTCGCTGCAATAGTCATTGGAGTGGATGGCATGGCCCCGTGGTTCAGGATGACCATTTTCCGAAGACCTTACAGATGGTGAACTCCACTTCCATGATTCTTCGCGCTATTTTCCAAGCACCGGAGAATGCACCTTGTCACGTCACAGAGCCGTGGCACGGCACGCGTCATGCGCCCAAAAGTGACACAAACATCACAAACACCTTCTCGTTTCCAAACGAACCTCGGGCCGATCCAAGAAACCAACAAACCGCTTGAAGCACCGAACATTCGACTCATGGCCAGTTGGGTAATTCAGGAATTCGACTAGTGTCCTATTTAAGGTCACTGGCTACCTCTCTTGGAAGTTCTTGACTTCGAAACCCCCATCAAACTCTAGTGTCTCGCTTCGGACTTGGACCCAAACGACACCGCCATGCGCCCCAAACTCTAAGCATCCGGGCTTTGCAAAGCTCCCGGGACCGCGAGGTCATACTTGCCCTGCACCTGGGAGACCAACACCTACTCGAATGGGCCAGACATGGATCCTTGACTCATCCAGTTGCAACAGTGGCTGTGACAGGGCACTCCGAACCTCAAAGTGCACCCCGAAAAAAGAGACACGCTGCCCCCCCGCGACCCAACATCGATCACCTCATGCACCGGCATGCGTTTTGGCACTGGGCCGTTTTGCCCCGGTTTCTCTGCTCGTGGCACCAGGAACTTCTGGGCGGTTTCGGTGCAGAGCTCCAAGAGTTCCTTCCTGATGCCCATCAGCTCCTACCATCGACTGAGCCGACCAAAAAGGACGGCGCCCTAGATCGCATGGCGGGGGGGGCTGTGGCTTTTTTTGAAGCCCAGAACGCTGGGGTCTATCAGATGGCTGGGGGTGTATCAGAAGGTGTTGTAGCAAGAAGGCTAGACATGACAAGAAACACAAAGCCAAAGAAGTAAAGCAAAGATGATAGGATAAAGACTGAACTAGGGGTTGGGCCATCACCCTGCTTAAACACCACTTGGAGCACCATTGGATACAGAAAAACTCAAAAGCTCACTTCTTTAAGCACTATACAAATGTCTCTGAAAAAGACAGTGCAACACCCGCAAACAAACCCTTTTCTCCCCCGTATCGGACCAGGACCATCCAACAGGTCTATTGGAGACCCCTGTGCACTTTGATACACATCTTCACCCACCCAAAATCATCTCCAAACACCGGACACAAAGGCTAACACACTCTGTTTGCACCCGGCTTCGTCCGTTGCCCCCGGGTCCGGTCCTCGGTCCGGCGCTTCCGCTCATCCTCCGAGCCGATCATCTTCGGCGGCGCCCGGAGCACCACGATGTCCTGCGACGGATTCGGCGCGTACACGGCGCGGTCTACGGGTCCGGTGCACTGAAGCAAGGGGGGGGGTAGGTGCATGTGGAAGGAAGGTTTGATGGAGGGAGTGGAAGGAATTCTTTTAAGGTCCAAGTGGAAGGTCCACAACTGTGCTGAAGATGCGAGTAACTAGCTGGGGCAATGTGAAAAGGAATGTGATGGGTGGATGAGTGTTTGGGGGGTCGTTTCTAAGAGCTATGCAAATTGCCAGGGATCATGAAACATCAGGAAATCTCCGACGCTTTTCATGGCCGTCTTGACCGTTATTTTTGTTTAAACGTCTCAAAGACATGCCAAGTCAGGACCATGAAAAGAGCAGCAATAGCAGATCTGTGACAGCTCCAGACCTGTCGGAGCTCAGAATGGTCTTCAGTTCACCAGTTTTGTTCAGCCACAGTGATGTTTTGCTGTCCAGCTTTGGCCTCTCTTTCAGGATCCATGATGCAGAAAGGATTTTTGAAACTCGAGTTTCGAAGGAATTCTGGAGTCCTGGAATTCTGGAGGAATCTCACCCTATCTCTCCTATTTGTGAAATATCTATTCTTTGGGAGGAATTAGTTGTGTATGAAATATTGTGAAATGACAGACATGACCATTTGGGTGAATCCATCCCCAAAACAACACACACCTTTTTGTATCCTTTTTTGGACGAATTCTGGTGACGAATCTCGCTGCTCCAGCATGAACACTGTCGCCTGATCCGATGATCCGACCCAGAGCGACCCGGGTCGTCAGCCTATGTAGTTTGGGTCGCTGGATCTTGAGACAAATGCATTGGGGAGCCACTGGATGAGACACACCACCCACTCCACCCACTCCACTCCCCTCTCTGAGATCCCGGAGGGCGTGGAAGTAAGACCCCAGAAAAGACAACTTGAACTTTGCATCGAAACGAAGTCTCCTGTGCGATGAGGTTGCCAATGCCCTTCCACCAAACATCAAAGTGCTCCTCGGCAAAATTGCGGCTCACTGTCACTTCTTTAGGCCAGTACGGCTAGTAGAACCGATACCTCTATAGTCAAATGGCTGCTACTTGGACTGAGTTGACTAGCTGACTAGCTCTTCTATCCGTCAATGGACAAATTTCTGACAGGCCAATGTCATGCATCCCAACATTGTCTCCTGCGAGTGCGGAGGATCCAGGAAAATGGCTTGCCCAGTGGACACCAACATGTTGTTTTAAGTTTTCAGACGTCAGAGGAAAACTTGTTTTTTCATCATCATCTTCATGATCAGAACACCTGGTTCTTCAGTTCGTGATCAAACTTCATCTTCATCCCCAGCTTGCTTCGGTCACTTGCTGGCGAGTACGGGAGTCGGTAGACACCATGCCATCCTCGATATCCTGTTTTTTTTGATGCCAGGAATCCATCGGATCGGGTTGCAGGCTCCGATGGTAAAGGAAAACATCTCCAAATTGGTCGCATGTTTCAAACAAACACAGTCAGTAGAAAAGAATAAGGACAAGAAGGACCATATATTAGTTGTATCATGACGTTATAATTTATACAGGGTATATGGGTATAGTCCCCAGATAGGACACCCATGTTCCGATGTTCCCGGTCGTGAATTGATTGATGTGAGCAAATCTCAACGGTCGACTGTGAGTTGGGTTCTTTTCCGTGGACCTGGTGACCCCCGAAACGACCACACTGACCTCCGACCCCACCGTGCTCCCCAAGTCATTGGTCGTTGCCCCAAGTCATGTGTAGCCACGCGTCATAGGTGGCAAAGTAGACTGGACACTCAGAGCAAACCAAGGTGGCCGGGCTTCCAGTGATCTCGCACGTGTATTTCACGCCCTGCGGGCGACAAAAGGAGACCAAACCAGGCAGGTGGCTGGAAAGCCAATGAGAAGCACCTGGAAGCGTGGCAAAAGGCCATAGATGTGCCAACTACCTCTGATGACCGCTTTTTCACTCCACAAAAGGAAGGGACCCATGCGACATCCATCCTGAAGTCACCTTTTTGTTTTTTGTTGGAAGAAAGGCAAGGCATCTTTTGAGGCCTCAAACGTTGTGCTAGTGCTAGAGGGAGCGACATGTTTGGATGGCGTGAGGCTTCGGAGCTTCGTGGCCGTGACGTGGCCCTATGCAGGTGGCTCTCTCTTTTTGTCCACCTGTTTCGTTCTTTAGTGCACCAATCCCGTATACAAAAGGTGACCTGCAGGTGATCCACCTTTCCTGGGTGGGTCGAAGACTAAGACCCTTCGCCGGGGGGCCACTGGGCCTTACTGGCGCCGCGGCAAAGAGAACCTGGACACGTCCGAACCCAACAGAGGTTGAAGGACCCGAACGTTCGACTATTTCATAGGTACCCCGGGAATTCTCGGGTCCTATTTACGGTCACTTAACCTCTCTTGGTTCATCCAATCTCCAGAGTCGAATTCCTTCTTTTGAGCAAGGGAGCTTGCTAACGCGGAATGACAGGCCCACAGGGGTGCTTGACATACCATGTCTGAGTACCATTCACTCACTCGCATCTATAATAATAGAAACCAATCAAATTATTGTCGGACGCGTCTGTCTTCTGCACTCCTCAGCCACCCGTTCTCAAGTGACCAAATAAGTCACTCCTCCCTGTCAACCAGCGAAAGCCTTTCTTATCCAGTGTCTTAATCGATCAAATCTGCGGGACGTCAGCCAGGGCTATGTATAGGTGACAGCCAGGGCTATGTATTGCAAAAACATATGGTTCCCAAGAGGCTTAAGCAAATCCAAGTATTCATTCGGCCTGTTCTCCCCGCACCTTGTTCCGTGCAAGCTGATTTATGGGAACTGCCGCCATGTGAACGTCCCTGACGGCACGGAGTAGTGAAGGCCAACACCAAAAAGTGATTGGACACTGAACAGTTGAAATTTGTGCTAGATTCTACACCAGCTCAGGGTGTTGATGCTTTCTTACTACTTTTTTTCTTCTCGCATATTTACGAGGGACGATCCAACCTCTCTGAAAGACCTCAATGGAAGGCTGACCCCCAATATTGGGCTGGCAAGCGGATTTGGTGGTCACCCAGCCACTCATCAAATGATCTGGATTTGAGCCGCAGAGGTCTATTCCGAACTCTTCCAGATCCCGACCAAACAATTCAGCCAAAGCCTAGCATCCCTTGGGAAGCCAAGCCTTGAAGAGGGGTATATTCTTGATGGCCAGTCACTGCAATATAGCTTGAGGTGGATAGCAAAGATTGGCGGTAAGAGATGCTTTAAACAACAAAAACGTGGAAAGACATGTTTCTCCAAGTTTCTCCTGGAAGTGTCCAAAACACTTCTCAAACTGTCGCGTTCTCACTGTCTTCTCTCTCACTCACATCAGGCAAAACTATGGCGCCATGGACGATTCTTGGAAGTTCCATGAGTCCCCCAAAACCCATCATCTGTTGATGTTTGATACATCCTGCCCGAAGGCTTGGGCGACCTTGGCATGTGGCTGAAGCGAAAAACACAAAAAAAACAACCAAAACACAGACTTCACCCCGGACCGTGCCGCGCATGGCATCGATTCGCCTCGCGCCTCGCGCAGGCAGTCTCCAGATGCGACGCTACCGCGGCGACGGGAAGCGTGGCGACTGAGGACGCGACGGGACACGTGACGTGTTCGGATCCTGTACACTTGATTAAGTAAGGAAGAGATAGCTACTAACCTACTAGCGATGGACTCCAACCTACTAGCGAGGGCCTCGAACCTAATAGCGATGGCCTCCAACCTACTAGCGATGGCCTCCAACCTGCTAGCGATGGCCTCAAACCCAAGAACGATGAGCGATGGCCTTATGTTTTGGAATACAAGTTGAAAAGAAATTGCATCATGAACCAGCTACACGGGAGGGATGTCCATTAGCCCCGAAAAGAGGTCAAGGGGATTCAAGGGGTTGTCCATCAACCATCCCGACAGGGGGTCCTGCAAAATGTGCAAGGTTTCATACAAACAGAAAAAAAAAGGAAACTGAGAAAGTTCCAAATGCAACCTGGTGGTTTTGGATGGTCTTGGGTTGTGAACTCAGCCCCAGGGGATCCATGCAAACCGCTATCCTTCGCTGGGAGTCCCAGTGGTTTCACTTCAACTAAAACCATAGACTTAGAAACCCTGGTTCCTTATACAGTGGTAACTGATGATTTCTCAGAGTTATGTACCTGCATGTTTACCCTTTAACTCTACGATTGGGCATGGGCCTGTACAGACACCAAGAATAACTTAACATGCTCTGGCAAAAGACATCTCCTGTCCTTGTTGGATCTTGTTGGCACACTGGCAACCATTTCTCTTTCTTCACCACTCCCCACAGTCCAGTGCCCCACAACTGTGCCCCTTCCAGTGCCGCGAACCGCGAACCGCGAATCAATCCTTTTCCATGCATGGTGTGGTGTTCGATGCCACACTGGTCTTTGTCGGCAGACACCGTTTTCAGATCTGCGCCGGTGGACTGGGCCTTGTTGGGAGGACAGCGCGGATCCGTCGCCTCCTGTGTTGGAAGCCCGTGGTGGGGGTCGGTCACCCGGAAACCTAAAGAATCGCAGCTGGGATTTTGCACAGCAGATTTGACCACCCTTCATTGGAAGAACGGTGCCAAAACTCCCACGGATGCTATCTTGGTTTGTGGCCCCAAAGCAGGGTAGCAGCTCAGCATCCACTGAAAGTTCTTGTGGCACTGATATTAACACGGTAATGTGCGCCTCTGATTTATCAATAGGGCTCCCCTGAAGTGACCTCAAATCCGCCCGCACCGAAGGTGCTCAGGGCGTGATCATCCGGATGGCATAAACAACTGTAAGGCACAGGTTTATGTGGGGGGGATCCATTTTTTGGCCAAAAACATGGGCTTTTGATAGGTCACGACGGCGGACTTCAAAAAACACTGTTTTTTACAGCACGGAATAGACTAGTTCGTGCATGCGCCCGCCCAGAACCGGCAAGAGAAAAGTGAAAACAACACATATGTTTTTTGACTTTTGGTCTTCGATTTTGGTTTTGAGACGCCTATGTTTTCCATGTGACCATGTGTCTTGTCGGGAGGCCGGGAGGCGAGATTTTGTGATTGCGGAGCTGTTTGGGTGACGGTTTTCGCTGTTTTTGTTGGGCAGAAACATTAGTTTTTTTGCTGTGTTTTTGTACATTGCTGAGGCCTGAGTTCTTTGCACGAAATGTAAAAACACCTCGCAAATAGCAATGTTTTTGGCGACCATGGACCATGTTGTTGAAAACGTCGCAAATTGCGGTGTTTTTTGACAGCAGGTTCAAAAACACTGTAAATAGCGGTGTTTTGGGCCATGGCAAGCTCAAACACATCGCTATTTGCTGTGCTTTCTGCCTCACAGAGCATAAAAACACTGTAAAATACGGTACGCAATGGCGTTTTTGGCAACATCAACCTCAAAAACCTCGCTATTCGCCGTTTTTGTTGGGCAACTGTTTCATGGCGGTGCGGGTGGACCTTTTAAATACTAAAAGTAGTATTGGCCTTGCTTTTTGGGAACTACATGGGTTGAAACTAGTAAGGAACCTAGAAAGGCCAGATTGGGGATATCTAGGTCCAGTGGCATCGACTCTGATAATCTCTGATCTTCTTCTGGATGCCACATCTGCCGACAAATAGACCTGCAGATCCAACGACCCTGGACACCTAGCTGATTGACCTGGAGATCTAACTGATTGACCTGGAGGCCAACCCAGATCTAGAACCTTCTAGAACCCAAGGACCCAGTATATACACTCCCTGAAATCATGCTGTTCTAGAGGAGCACCAAGTTCTCCCTGTTTGGGGATAATGCTTCTCCGAGTTCTCGGAGACCTACCGACCACCAGTGAACAGGTCCCTGGCAAGTCCTGTGATCACACGCGGGAAAAGGTGTGGTGTGGGCTCGACAGAACCCGGGTTCCGGGTCTACACTATGACCACTGATCCTTTAAGATAGTCCATTTCTCGTCCTCCAATCACAGCCCGAACCGCCATGGAAGACGAAGAACCAGATCTCTCTCTTGGGAGTGATCTGGCTAATGCTGAGGCAGATGGGCACACGTTCGGCTCAAAAGAAGCGATTCAGATCGATCGATGTTTCAAAATGTCTGTATATAGTTCCCGTGAATGTGATTTAAGTCCTTGCAGGATCATGACCTTCTGTCCCAGTTCTTGCAGGGTCTTGACCTCTCTCACATCCACATCATCCACATGTCTAGGATTGCTTTGGAAAGGTCTTTTCGGACTACACTCGGGAAGATTAACATGGAACCTGAAAACCACTGGGTTGTAGAGGAAAATAATCTTCCAAAGGTCCATTTTCAGGTTCTATGTTAGTTTTCGGGAGTGTAAGATGTAGCCAAAGAGTGCTGGCTTTGCTACATTCATGCATGCCTGTGTTTGAAAGTGCCGAAGTGTCTCGGCATCAGCACAAGAATGCACCGAGTGGCCTCAAATCTCCTCAGTAAAGCATTTGAGTTGCACAAGCTACCGAAGCATAACTGCCTAAAGCCATGAACCTGGCACAGCCTGGCACACTGTTCTCAGATGGCCGGCTTCATAGGACTTCACCTCCTTTCTATGGATCTGGTGCTATTTTTGGCCTTCCGTAGGGACCTCAAGCTGTTCAACTGTATCTATAGTGTCAATGTATGTCTAGTGTGCTCAGTACTCCCGGACTTCAGCGAATTCACTCTGGTCGTCTGGTGCATGTCTTAGAACGATCGCCGCGCCGATCACAGCGCCCGTCACTGGCGCGGATTCGCGGATTCTCAGAATGTGGCCTGGTGGACTGGTGGAGTGGAGAAATCCGCTTCGAAATGCTGCATCCGAAACAGCAGCTGTTCAGCGGTGGATGCTGCATCCGAAAAAAAACAAACAAAAAACTATACATCACAACGAAACGAACTTGAGTTTCGTTTTTGACACTCTCTACTTCACCGAATAACGATTGCCCATGAACCACATATAACATCATATAACCACATCAACACCACTATCATCCACTAAAAACACCACTAAGACCGACTCCGAACGCCGAACGCCACCTCCCCTCCGGTTCCCGGTCCGTCACCATCTCTCGTGGATCGCGCCTGGAGGGAGGCAATGAAGTCTTGCTTCTCTCGGCACGCCACGCAGTTCACACCCAATAACTTCACCTCGAGACGTGGCCGGAGAAAGGCCGAGCATGGAGTCGGGCGACCCCGGGAGTGGACGAACTGTTCAGCGGCGTTGGAACCCACAGGGAGTGTCTTTAAACACCCAACATCACCCAACCCCAGCCACCTTCCAGGATCCGCAACGGTCACCTCCGGTTGAACCCGTCATCTCACAAAAACCACCAGAGCCACGCCGGTTCACCAGTCACTACTCGTCCAGCCTGTTCGCGAAGATCCTTGAGCGACCAAGTCTGGAAGTCTTCCTGGGCAGATGGTCGTCTTCCGCCCCATCTTTCAGCTCACTAATCCGACAGCTGATCTGCCCGATGTTTCCGCATGTTTCCCCCAGTATTTTTTTTACTTAACATCAACATCATCTGATAAGAATGAGTGATATGAAAGACCCACATACATACCACCCACACACCCTATATATGGATCGAAATTGGCACTCTTTTGGTTGGACCCTGAGGGGTTTTCTCAGAGAACATGGTTTTGTTTTTTTGTTCGCCTGCAGCACCATGAGAGGTCTCATGTTGACATGGAGCCTAGCCTGGAACCTCGTGAAAACACCCTGAACATCGCCAGAAGGTCGCTGGCACCTGGCCTGCTTCACGCAAGTGTCTTCCTCCACCGGATTCTCCTGGGCTTTTGGCTGATCTGGGACACCCGAAAAACGACCCGAGGTTCACCGGGAACTGGGAAAGACAATCTCCTATGCTGTCAAACGCATGCTGTCAAGCCAGGTGACTGCCCGAAATCGAAAAAAGCACAACGATTTCAAGCTCAGTAGGTCATGTGGCCCAGACCTGGAAAACATTGTTGGAAGAGTGCCGCGGCATCTGAAGAGCACCGCATCTATGTCCAAAATATCTGAGATGCTCTTGCCAGGGGTGGTGCTATCTGAGATGCTCTTGCCAAACACAGAGACCCTCCTCCCATTTGCTCGACTTCGTCACATGGCATTACTTGGCACCTCCACTGAGGTAGCCTTTGACAGACAATAGACACTACAAGAAACCATATAGAGGACACTGACATAAACCAAAGGCCGTTGTCCCATGACGTCTCATGCCGTGTGCCCAACGCAGCTCCTGTGGGAGGTTGAGCATCTCGGGTCCATCAAGATAGGTGATCTGTCTAAACTCAAACCTCTTGGAAGGAGAGCTCCAAACAGATCCAAGGCACTTTAAGGCACTCCCAAATCACTGGACCCAAGGCTCGAGCGCCATCCGACCAGCTACGCTTCGCCAAATCCCTCCGCACTGACGCCCGAGTCTGATCGGCCGCCCGGTCGCCCGGGCCACCGCGCATCCAGGTACTTCTCCGCATCGAGCGCCGCCATGGCGCCCGAGCCCGCGCTCGTGATGGCCTCGGAGCGAGCAGAGCCGGCGAGAGCGATGAGGCGAGGCGATGAGGCGGTGAGGCGATGAGGCGAAACGAGTCCAGCTGGGCAGATGAAGTCTCCGAAGCGCTGGATCTGACAAACGCTGAGAGTTCTGGGCGAAACCAGCCAAGCCCCAGGAATACCAGGTCTATATCTGGTTCGCTGGTCCAGTCACAAAGTCAGTTTCTTGCTAGGTCAAACGGCCTGCCTTGGCCATCTTCTTGGGGGGGGGGTTTGGGCTTTCCAGGTGATATACTATATTATATATAACTAAATCTTTAAGTCTATGACCTCTATACAAAGTGTAGTCCATCCACCACTCGATCTGAGAGTTCGATCCGCCAATTCCTCGAGTTATAAGGACCTAGGAGTCCACACATGGGTCCATGGGAGTCGGTTGGTCAGCCTTTTGAGCCCCACGTACCTAGCACTTTCGGAGTCGGTTGGTCCTGTCTGGTGACCTTTTTCAGCAGTGTAGGGTGGTCCATTGGTCGAACGGAAGCAGCTGGTAGAGTCCAAACAGTTATTGGTAGAGGGCTCAACTCGCCCAGTTTTATTCAGTCATTGGGGGAACCACACCACAGGGGAATGTTAGCCATTATAGGGTTGAAAGGGCAAGCACTCCATGGCCAAAGCGGTCTGTTTGCCGCATCACTCCCATGGATGGATCTGGCGAAACATCCACACGGCCAGCCGTTTTCCGGGCTGCTGAGCTTGGAGCCTGATCAATCACCCCCGCCATGTGACTTGAAGAAGCTATATGAAAATCCATGAAACACCTCTTCAATAGCTATCTAGCTTGGGGAAATGGTTGATTCATCCAAGAGGCCTACATCACTGGAGGCCACCAAGCAGCTGCCCACCCACACGATCCGCCACTCCCTCCACACCAGCCGCCTGTCGGTAGACATGGTCCGCCACATCGCCGGCGGCGAAGAAGCCCGGCACCGAGGTCCGGCTGCCGGTCACCTGGAGATAGCCGGTCCTGAGGTGTGTGCCGTGCCGGTGCGTGCCGGGATCGAAGGGACAAGCAACACATGGGTGTGGTGGCGTGGCAAAGCAGTGCCATTTGTCTGAGGATCCACTAGTAAGTATCCACTATAGTGGAATTTTGGTGTGTAACTAGAGTATTGCCTAGTGCATCCCAGGCCAACCACTAGTGACACTAGCTATCAAAGGAACCAGGGGCCCTTCGGAAACGGTCTATGGTTTTAGTCGAACTGGAACCACTGGTTACCAGCTATAGTCTAAGTGGTAACTGGATGCCCTGGGTTATATAACTACCAGCACCCTCCAACAGGTCTCCTCTAAAGGCTTGTTGGGCCCGAATACAGGTCTATTGTTGGGTGACCTGTGAAGTCGGGTGCTGGAGTCGGGTGGTTCTTGTGTTTGACACTTTTTATTTCTGGCGTTTCTGTGGTCAACTGAGGTGAAACAAACTTGTTTGCAACTGGGTGGAACATGGAACATCCTGGAACTGGATGGGTCTCTTCCTCTCTCCATATCTAAGGCCAGTCAGGATCTGGTGTCTCACCCCCTGCCCCCATCTGGTCTATCCCCGTCTTCCGGGGGGGTCATTGCCTGGGAGGTCTCCCTATTTTGATACACACCAACATGGCTTCTCAACCCAAACCGGGTGACTTCAATGCTTGTCATTGCTGATGTCCGAAGAGGAGAGCACAGTCCGGCTGTCATGCTGAGCACCGTCCGCCCGCTGGAGGGGAAGGTAATCGAAATCCAAACCCTCCCAGACTCATGAACTACCCCACTTGGGAGTCATATTTTCACCACTACCAAAGTAGTAGAATAGTTACATCACTGCAGTCGCAGGGTTCTTTTTGGATGAGGAATTCGTACTTCGAACACTTCGACAAAATCGATGCTCGAAGCTCTCAACACCTGAGTCAGCTTGGAAAAGCACATGGGTGCCCTGGCCCTAGCCCTCAAAGACCTTTATAACAATGATTGACCTAGTTTTGTAGCGTAAAATTCCGTAAAACAATGATTCAGAGGACTCGGGGGTGGCCCAACCTACTTCTTGCTGCTAGTAGCGATGGCCTCCAACCTACGGTCCCAGACCCACAGTCACATTGAAACCAAAGGCAGCTGCTTCTGCCAAGCATCTCGTCCATGTCCACCTGCGCGGAGAAAGCAAACTAACTTGTCTTTATAAAATTGATAGCTTTTGAAGTCCTTCTTCACAGGCAGCGGCAACTGAGGCACACTTTTGTGGGACCATACTTCTTGTAAAAACCTTGTTCTTGTGGTATCTATAAAAACCATTCCTTGATTGACCATGGATCCTTGCGATTCGTCGTTGGGGCCCCTGAAAAGCACGAACACACCTGGCTTTTCCAACTCAGCCGACTGGCCGTGCGGCGCGCCTGTCCCCGGAAGAGCCGGGTGTTGGGGTCGTGGCCAATGGCAATGAAGGCCGCCTCCATGGGAACCAGGTCATCTTTGGAGCTGTCCTGCGATGGTGTTGGGGCCGGGGCAACCAATTGGACCAATCCCCAAACACCCATGGAAGTAGCATGACATTGGGGTGGTTAAGGGTTCGGATTTTATTGTGTAACTGTTTAAGTTTGTTTGTTTGTTTGTTTGTTGTTTTTCTCGCTTTTGGCTGCTGTCTTATCAAGGAAAAGGAAACGGAAACATAGAAAAAGGGAAAAGCGAAAGGGAAAAGGACAAAGGCATGGGAAACGGAAACGGAAAAGGACACATGGGAAAAGAAAAGCAAGGGCCCCTGCAGGGTGCACACGCCATAACCAAAACAATACGTAATCAAAAGCCAACAATGCCAACCACACCAAAAGCCAACAAAAGCAAACAGCCTGAGAAAACCTTAGAAATCCTTTGGTCATTGGAACAAAATGTTAGAACACATGCGTAAATCGAGAATTTTCTTCAGAACACATGGTGTCAGAAAAACTTTGAACATGCTTTGGCTTTCTGAAGAAACTCAAGAAAACACCTGGGGAACACCAACACAGCACCAACCAAGTTTGTGGAACACATCAACATTGACCTGCCAACACATGAAAAACCAACAAATCCCATCCATGTTGCCATCCGTTCGCTTCTGATCCTCATTGACCACAGTTTTCCACCGCGTTTTCCGCGTGTCGCTCCGCTCTCCTGGGTGTCCATGAGCTCTAAATGCGTGAGCTCCTTATGCTCCACGCCCTCAACCTCTGTGGTCTTCCCCACAAAGCGCTTCACCGCTGTGTTCCTTGCTGTGCACTTGGGCAGTCCAAATAGGAAAACTAGAAAACGCATGAGAGTGCTACATTCCCTTCTGACCCCTGGTTGAAGTGAAACATCCTGCAACACCCGAGGTCTGAAAACAAGTTAAGCACTGGGTCCAGTCCATGCATGTTGACCAGTTTGTGCATGAAATATGTCTGGTTCTTCTATGCGAAGGAGGCATCAAGTTCTTGGATGCCCAGTTGCTAAAATGATCTACCCAAACGCTCCGTTCACAACCCGACTGGTCCCTCAAACCTGGATTGGTTCGGAACACCCCTGAGACCCGAGGATTTGACTCCCCAGTTCATCCGCTCCACAGGCCGCTCCACGCACTGCCAAGGTTCCATCTAACCTGATTCAGGCCACGTATTGGGAACTTTGGTGGGAACGGAGCTTTGAGATTGAGATTTGAGATTTAAATAAGCATATGGCCACGAAAGCACACAACAAAAAACGGTGAGGTGAATGAACAACAGTAGTTTGTTCATCGTTGTTCCTCTGGGGATATGTTGAGACCCAAGCACCGGAAAAATAGTGGATCACGCAACAAACATGTGAGGCCACGAGGCCACGATCGTTCCTGAACCGTGACTGTTCGATATGGCATCATGAATCATCTTCAATCCTTGTTCATACCAAAATGACTCATACCAGGACCTTCCAACAGGTCACCACCTGCGACTTTTAAGTCTACAAAAGCATCCATTTCGGAGACCTGTAGAGTCGGGTGCTGCTGGTATATAAATATTATATACAAGTATACTTGCAATTGCTGTCCAAGAACCGGTAAAGAAAACATCTTTCCCATTGGGAACCGGACATGGCCACGCAGGGAAAATGGTTCCCACAAATCACCTGGAAAACCCGCACAACGTCGACTCTTCGGTTCTTTTTGCCGACAGGTTTCTAGCGAAGGTTCAGACCACTGGTTTCTGTGGGATTCGAATACAGAAACCCATTGCCAGGTTCTTCAACAAGAATGACATTAAGTTCTGACATGGAATAATGACCACGCCTTTCCCCAGGAAATGTCTTCCTTTCCCTTTGCTCCTCCTCCTTCCTCGGCTGGGTTCTCCTTCCATCTCCTTCCTTGCCTCCCTGGCTTCCTTCTGCCTTGATGGTCTGGCCGTGGCACAACCCTCCATCGTGAGCATGGCAGGTTTGTGTCCTTCAGGAGTTGTCATTTACGCGACCAAATCATCGGAGATGTCGACGAGTGGTGCACAGATCCGACGACCAATCAGGTTCGCTTCACCCAGAATCCGACGACGCAAGTTTTTGCAAGTTTTTGCCACACATTTTCAGATTGAGACCTCACGCAGATTGGCCCCAAAGTCCGTTGAGATCAACTCCTTGCCGGCCAGGACGAAGGACGAAGGACGGCGCAGTCCACTGACACTACGGGGGGCTGGAGCGTCAACCCAAAACCTTCCGAACCTCAAAAACCCACTGACCTACCTGCAATTCATCCCACTGACCTGTAGAGATTCGAATCTGACCAAGTTCTAAAGGCCGACTCAAAAAAGCAAACACTCCATTATACTCCATTCCACTCCTTTCATCTCCCCTTCCCACACCTTTCACGCCGTTTTCACGGCCTTCTCTCCGTTTCATTCCGTTTCCACCGGTCTCCGTTTTTCACGTTGACACGTTGGGACGAGGCACTCGGATGTTGGGATGGTTCAGCACCCGCTGCTGCAACACCAGCGAGGCCCGGAAGGCGTCGCGGCGGTGGAGCAGGTCGACCGAGCTGCAGATCCTTGCTAAGACCAAGGCCTTGCCGGGAGTGAGTCCGGACGAACCACCTGATAGGCCTGTCCGTTCGTGACCGAAGCAACCAGGAGATCAAGTTCGGTCATGGTGGACATGTGATGTTGGCTTCGTTCGAAAAGCGCGAGACACCTCCGTTCAGCCAAGATGAAGCAAACACATCGTCTTCAGTCTAGAGTTTGATGTTCAGCCACAAGAGCTTTTCTTTGCGTCCCCAAAGATGTGTCCAAATCTGGTTTCAATTTTCATGGATTAACACTCAAGAACCTGAGGACTCGCATGGCAGTTGCCACTTCTCAACAAAATCTTCGGAACCTTCGAGACACTTTTTGGCCCACTTAACCTCAAGACCATCTATATAGAAGGTTGAACTCTAGACTAGAACGAGCTGCACATGATGCGAGTATACTGTCTTTCGCACACCTCAATCAATGGTCAAGAGCCGCTGATGGTTCTGTTCGCTCTCCAAGACAACCCTGGATGACACCCGACGGAGTTGTTCTCCTGTCCGTCGGTTTTTCAGTGAGGGAGAAGGTCCGTGGGTTCCGTGGGTCCTCGGTTCTTCACGCTCAAAGGAAGCAACACAGAGCACCCAAACTCCCCCACATGACGGTGTTTTGTTGAAAATGGCTTGTCCCTTCAGAAGAATATGGGTGGCCTTCAGGGGAGTCAAGGACCACCACACCAACGCACCAAAAACAAAGAAAAGCAACATACCCAAACGTTCCTTAAACAACGATCAGCTCAGACGGTGATCGATCTCTTCGCCCGAACCACACCTCTTCCATGGCACTGTCGCCGCCACCGATCACGGCGCAGGCCTCGGGTGCGAGCCGAGGGAAACGCCACGAGGAAAGGGGCCAACCCGAGCGAAGGTCCTACCAGGGGCCCCACAAACCACCCAAAACCTGGTTTTCCCCAGCAAAAAACATGGTTTGGGTACGTGAACACCTCTATTTTTTATATATTTTTTCATGGTTTTGAGGGCCCCTGGTAGTAGCTTCTTGCTCCGTTCGTAGTGATGGCCTCCAAGCTAATAGCGATGGCCTCCAACCTACCAGTAGTAGCTCCTTGCTCCGTTCGTAGCGATGCTCGTTGTTCCGTTCGTAGCTTCTTGTTACTAGTATGTATGGCCAGGAGCTACGTTCGAAGCTTCTTGCTTCTAGGGATGCTCTTTTTGGACCTGGAATCTTGTGGTGGACTTTCTTTTTCCCTCAGTTGTATGGCCTTAGCTTCGGACAAAAGACACGGAGAAGTGTGGTCTTTTTTGCAAAAATTGCTTGAACGTTGTGACAAACGTTCTGTAACCCGAGCCGGCTGACAAATACCGACAGTTGCAGGGTGTCATGGATGTATTGTACATGGACATGGACATTCCTTATTTCTGAAGTGTTCCTCTGGGAGAGAGTATCTGCTCAAAATGTTGCTTCTATGAGCTACTCATTTGTTTGCGGTATTTTTCATGTCAAGACAATTGCAAATCAATTGGAATATAGATCCATGCTGTCTTTGTCATGTGGAGAAGTGGTGCCATGTGGTGCCTCAATGTCATGTCGTCTTCCGGAGATCCGTGGGCGTCCAATGTCCAACAAAAGTATATCATGTTCTCCGGTCGTGAGCCAACGCCTCGCAGATTTGTTTTCCGCAAAAGACAGGTTGTTGGGGAGATGTGTGTGTTTTTCTGAGACTTTAGTTAAGGTGCGAACTGATCTTTTCCGTTGGGTGAAAAGTCCAAGGTCACCAACTGGCCAAGGAAACACTCCTTCCAAGCTCGCACCAGGTTCGCGTTTTCAGGTTCCCCGTCCTTGTTCTTGTACAAATAGCCATCGCAGGTGGCGCAACTCGACACGCCGTGCCCACGGAACTCCCATTCGCCTTTCACCTGGGCCATGGCACCGCACCGGCGACATGTTCAGGGCGACCCGGTCAAGGCTTCATTGACGGATAGGTCAATAGAGGTTAAAAGGCAAGCCCGAAACACCAACATTGCGACTGAAACACCCGAATGTCCTCTTCATCACCTAGTGCATCAAGACTTGAGGCCGAGGGTAGGTGACGAAAGCTAGCAGGGGTGCATCCGGACTGGTGGGACATCAAGCGGATTGAGGCAAATGCTCATGAGGTAAAACGTTGTGAACATGTAAGACACACAAACAGCAATGACACAGCCAACCTTAGAATTGAAGTCCCCGATAATTAAGGAAGCGTGGCTGGACTTTGCCACACTATTCGATGCATCCGATGTGTTTACGAACCTGTGAGCTTGTTGAATCTGTTGCACCGTATCCCGGAGGAGTTAAACCAAAGTGGATGCCATAAGAGGTGCCCAAGAGGTGTCCCAGAGGCGTCCGAGGGGGGAGTTGAACCCACGGAGGGGGGGGAGGGGGGGCCCCCCCCCTACATGTGAAGTTTTCACGTGATGCGGCGATCTCGAGGATTCCAGCCCCTCACTTGCTAAAGCAAGGACAACTCCAGCTAGCTGGTGCTAGCTTTCGTGAAAAGATCGTTTTGCACTTTGAGTGGTGCACAGGCACTTCCACCCTGACCCCATATATGCCAGTTCACATGAAGGTGTCATGTATGGAACCGGTTTTTCCCGATCAAAAAAAACGAATCGACGCCCCCAGGCGACGGACATGGAAAAAACAGTGGTTTTGGTGAGGAATCAGGTCGGCTCCGGGGGCCGAACCCTTGAAACGACGCGAGGACGCAAATACACCTGTGGAGGTTCAATCTCTTGAGTGACCCCTAAAAAGGAACGCTTGGAATTGGGGTCACGTACTATGAAGGAAACCATAGGAAACCACCTTCAGTGATCTATGATTCTTGGAATTCTTGGAATTGGTTTCTCTATGGTTGGTCACGTACTACGTCCGCAACGCTTGGCCACCGCAATGTGTGTGGATCTGAAGAGCGGCACTCCGGCTTTGAGGAATTTCCACATCATCAGACATTAAAGACACATCAACTTTGGATTTGCTATCCAAGAGGAAGTTCTAGATACACAGAAGCTTTGAGGTGAGTGAAGATCTTCTAGGACTTGCGTACTTCGTCGGAAAGCCGGGAAACAAACACAAACACATCTTCACGGTGTTCAGGAAAGAAATCACCCCCTTGGGCGCCGTAAACATTATATATAAATCAAGCAAAACTAGGTCAATCATCCCACCATCTGTGGTTCCGGACATGAAGCCATTTGCTATTGGCTCCCGTGGCCGCGATGATCCTCAGAAGCTCCAGCTTCAGCTGGGTGGAGCTTCAGCTGCAAATCAGCAACCACGACTCAAAGGAGTTCTCGGGCTGGGGCCACATTCAATCTGACATCATTGGGGAAATCTCCTCGGAACACCAAATGAACATATATGTTTCCTTCCAGGGGAGATCACCCTAGCATCATGAATGTCACTTGCCCACCACAGAAATTCTCATGCTGATCCAAGCGCTTTCCCCAGGCCAAGAATCGTGTGAGCCTGAACCAGCCCGGAGTTGTTCGTGAAGATCCTCGGCGCGGTACAGAGCCTGTGCTCGTTCGCATCGCAATAGGCGGCAGCTATTGGGATCATGCGAGATTTGCTGCCGAAAGCCAAGAGGAACAGCAACACCATCCAAAAAACAAAGTTTTTGGAAATGGAAACTCTGAGTCTCTATCTTCAAGCCAAGTCAAGCTAAAGCCAAGCCAAGCATTCAACAGCTTGGGATTTCAAGGGACCAAACAAGGCAAAAACTGTATCATTTTCACAACCGGACGTTCTCCAACAGTGAAAACAAACACCCAGCTATCAACCTGAGACCAAACAGATTAACTTGAAAGAGTGACTGGTTGGTGTTTCAATCCACTTGAACAATATTAGTCAGAGGGTCCAATCATCCCCAAGTAAGGGTTGAACATAAACATATCCGAAACCATCACCTAGGTGATGGCTTGAAGCCCATCACGCGATCCGACAAACATCACTTCGGTGAACGATCAACGTCTTTGGCACGCTGGATCGAATAAGGGAAGTTCGGATTGCATGGAAGATCGAAGTTCATACGGATCTGCTGGGTCAACGAAAGCGCTGGAGTGACGTCATGGCCAAATTCAAGGTGTGACACAGTGAAACATGTCCAATCTAGTCGTCCATATCACCAAAGCGAGGCGCAATGCGCGATGTTTGCAAATACAACGTGCTTGGCAGAACTCACTGCCAACTTACCAGTTGTCAGAGTGGGTCTTGATGACTCTTCATTCATGTCTGACGCAGTACCAAACTCGCCGTTTCCAAAGCTACCCGCAATACCGAACTCTCCTGTTTCCCACTTTCCCAATTTCCCAAAAACACGTTGTTTCTTTATGTAAAGTGCAAGTATGTGCATGCACGCCCCGAAAGCAACACTCCCCTCCCCGCCCGAGCATCTGAAACGGCCGCGCCGTCGTATTGACCTCGGCGCCCAACGGTCGAGGCGAGCGGCGGAGAGAGACGGGGAGGTGGGGAGGCGAGCCGGTTTTGGTTGCCCCCAAATGGTTGAAACTGTTTTTTTTGAGTCCAGGATCTGCCTATGAGATTCTAATGATTCCATGAGATCTGAAAAATAAGTCCATGCAAGGGATGTTGCAGCGAACTGTTCTTAGTTCGTAAAAGTCTTATTGGTAATATGTCTTGGTAATCCTCCTTCAACACGATGCCTCTGGACTCTAACTTGACAAGCGTAGGCTGTCGGACAGTCCGTTGGTCAACGTCTCCTTTCTAAGAAAACACCGTCAACGCACCATGCGAACAGTTGATAATGGATGTTGTCAAACCAACTAACTGCAAAGTCTACAGACCTCCCCCCTCAACGACGGAAGAAGCAAAGTAGACCAGTCTATACCCATATCATTGAGTGAAATTGGGGGTCTCCCGGTTTAAAAAAATGCACACTCCATGTGTATACCTTGATTGAACCTCTTCTTTTCACTTTTGAAACAGGGCCACTGCCACCCACGCTTGGACCAAACCCTTCGGTCTGTGGACGAAGCGCTACCTCGCCTGCATGCTTCGTTGTTCGGACCCAGTAAAGACCCTGGGTCAGTTCTGAGCGCCCCAGCGCCAATGACATGATCGTCCCAGACCTACGGCACTCGTGTTTGTGGCGCGTACTGTAAGGGTAAAGGAATGTAAAGGATCTCAAGCTGCATGGCGCCGGAACTTGGATTCCACCCGGAACTTGTTTCAGGTTAGGGGGTTCCACACCAATCACACACTCATCTTCCAAAACGGCGGTGGTTTTCCATGTTGCATACGTACTCGTACTACGGGATCCTGTGGCATGGGAACCCTATTAGTGAGCGTCCTGCTTTCGACATGATCTGGAATTGCCCGTGATCTATAGACTCATGGAATAATATCCACAATTGAGTAAATCCCATGGTACTGAACGAAACGTCCAGCCGGTTGATCGGGCCGGTTGTCCAGCGCTCTCTTGCTGGGACATGCTTTCCACTCACCGGCTGGCCTCGGCATAGAAGCTCCGAGCTTGGTGCTTCATCACCTGAATCCTTAGCCAACCCGAGTAATTTCCGGTGCGATGGAAAGAGGTCGAGAGAAGGCATCCACCGCTGCTTCCAACGGGACAAAAGCCGTGCCTTTCCGTGTGTCCACAGAAAAACAAAAGAAACAAACACACAAAAACACACGTGTTTCACATCGTGAAACACACGACGTTGTGGAAGTCATGAATGACATGTCATTTGGTTTCTATTTCCTGAAAAAAAGATGGTTCATGATTCTTCAGTCCCACCGGAAGCAAGTCCAGTAGAGGCGCGTTTGTTCTTCGGCCCACCAGTCGGTGCTACTGGGCCAGCGGCTGGGTCACTTCAGTAACACCGGCTAGTAGCGAACAAGCCGGATATTAGCACAACAGCACGCAATTGATCCACGACAAGTCCATCATAAACTGTCTAAAGGTGATGTTTTACTTCCCTAGGGATCCAGTCGTACCTTCTCAGAAGGCACCTGGACCCTCCTGGCACCCACCCCAAACACCTTCTCAGAAGGTACTTGGATCCCTAGGGCTTGGTCTTTGCTTCTTGTTCCGCCTTTCTTGACCTTGTTGACCTCTTCTTGTTGGTCGAGTCGTGAGTCGGTATGCCCATCGTGTGTCGCCCATGAATCCTCTTGGACCGGCCATCCTCTGAAACAAGACAAACAAAACCCATTGCAAGGTCTTTGCCATGCATTGAACCACCTACAAAGGCGGCCAATCATTTTCTGGCTGAGTTAGTTCATCATAGACATAGACATTTTAAGTTCTTAGCTTCCAGGTGAATGAGATTCAAGTCCAGCCAAAGGTCCCAGCCAGTCCAAACAAATCCACATGTCTTTCATCAAAACATTGCTGCATCTTGCTGTTGTGGTTGTTACATGTTGGCCCATCAGCTCAGGGCCCCACATCATACCTCCATTCTCACGTGGCAAGCCTGGATAGTTTTCCACATCCACCTCAGGCTTCAACTTGCCAGCAGACTGCAGGGATCTGCAGGGTGTGGGGGTATGGTATGCGTATGTTCTCAACGCCCGAATCAGCAAACAAGTCCGCCAGCCGTGTTTCTTCGATGATTTGGGCCGCTTCCCTTGGCACACCTGCCAGCTGCATCCTCAACCTTCGAATCTTCAGAATCTAAGTGCTTGCGGATGTGGTGCTCGCGGATGCGGACGGACTGGGGGCCCAGGCACCCTTGGCCATCAGTTGGCCACCCATGGATGGTGCAATCACCAAAGGGCATAGATTGGACTGGGCGCGCGTGTCAACCCCACCGGCCCGGTGGCCAAGACCGGAACCGGTGCCGAAAACGCATTGGTTGGGAGGCGATTGGGGTTTCAATCGGTTTTACCATCCATGCTTGGGGAGGCTTTGTGGCTTGCAAGAGTCTACATTACCTGGACTCATCTCCTTTGCTAAATCAGAAGCTGCTAATGGTCGACCGCCAATGGTCGAAAGGATCAGAAGCTGCGTTCGGAATAGACTTGCGTTCGGTGGACAAGGAGTGAAGATCGCGCAGCGCACCGCGCAGCTTCATCGGTGGATTGCAGGTTGATATCCATTTCACCCACCGATACTGAAAGGTCATTGGACTCTTTCTCAGAAGGGGACGGGTCGTCTCCCCGAATCCTCCCCATGTCCCTCTGGACTCCAAGGCCATCTGAACCATCTGAGCTCTGACATTCCTAATATATAGACTCTTGATGATATTTCAACCACCTATGTACATATATTAAAGATATTTTACCATCCATCTTTTGGGAGGCTGAATGAAACATCACGAGTCTAGGCTGTATTTATCTTTGCCGAGTCCGGATGGAAGAGGACTCACCACTTGCAAAAGTCCCGAGATCTGCAAACACCAAAGATAATATAAAAAAATTGAACACCTGGTTCTTCAAAGTGACCTTTTGATAACCTGGTTTGAGGTCACTTAAGCCTCCTAAGGGTCACTTAGGAACCTTTAAAAGGTCACTTTGAAGAAGCTGGCAAAGAGATTTGAAGACTCCTTTTTCCAAAGTTGGTTCTCACAAAGCAACATAAACATTGACATGAATCTGTTGACATCTATAGAGTCCATGCAAGAGTCCCATCGAAGCATGCTAGTTCGGCCCATGTTGTGGATGATCACCTTAGACATGTGACATAGTCCCAACCTCCTACAAATCCAATGTTCCGATATCATTTCCTTGCCAGAAAAAAGAAGGACCTCTAACATGAAACGAATCATCAAACCCATATATAAACCATAGAATTACCATTAGTTACCCGAACCTTTAGATGTGTTGTTTTTTCAATGCTTTGTAATTAGCTTGATAACTTGATATCACAGACTTCTATGAACATGGATCCAAGTTGAACCTAAGCAGCTGGGTCCTGGTGGCCAACCATGAAAGCATCGCGTCGAGCGCGAACGCTCCTCCCGCCGACGCCGGGCTTCCAGGCCCGTGCCGCATAGATGGCCGCAGTCATTCCCGCGGGCCCTCCTCCGCGGCGCAACGACGACGACGACGCTGGGGGGGGCTCCAGGTGACGACCGGAGGAAAAGGACCCATAAGGGGAACTTCCGGGGAATGCCCTGGCCCGAAGAGTCGAACGCTCGGGTTCTGACCCACCTCTGTTGCCTGTGTTTTGGTGCAAAGTGCAACTTCGACAAAGGTCAGGGCTATGAGGTGTCGCCCGAACAGGGCCCTGAAGGAGGTTCGCCCACGTAACCACCCATCATTGCTTTGGTCGATTTGGAACCACAAAACCCAAACACGACCAATGCGACTTGCAGAACAAAACAGATCAGTTTGGGTGGTTGAAAAGGGGTCAATTATGTACATATTCAAGCCCATAAGCACAGAGATTTTCATCACAAAAAAAACATTCTTGCAGGGAAAACACCATAGGCCCCTGGTACACGGAGAACCTGGGTTTTGCGGTTTACATTCTTCGCGAAGAAGATGTGACCACGTCCTGGATCCGTTTTGGGATGTTGTCTTTCTGGTTCATGGTTGTTCCAAACATATATGGAGTGTTGTGTAGTCAACCGCACCCCGGACCCTGCGATGGCCGGACCTCTGTGGGTCACCGGTGATCTCCTCCAATGATCACCACGCGCTCAATAGCATTGTTGGTGCGGTTTCGGTACAATGTGCAGGGGTTGTGTTCCAGCCGCAACTCCTGGCACTTCTCAGCGCAACTCAAGTCGAAGGCACGAGGAGAACATGAGTGTTACTCAGGGGTAAGATCTGCAGCTGATTGGGGGGTATCATGGCACTGTATCTAGCTTTGAGCCACGCTTTGGGAAATAGACACAACATGCGGGTTATTACAAGTACTGTACCATGTCTTAATCCTTCCATTGATCCTAATATAAGAACTCTGATCTTAAAGGTCCTCTTCGAGGCAAACGTGCTCAAGGGCCATGGGCAACAAGAGGAGGACATGGAAAAACACTTAGGGTATACTGACTGGTGCGACTCGTAAGGAACGAGGCAATGGATCCTCATGTATCCATGGTTCTTTGGGAAGATTTTCAAATGATGGTACCAAGTTGTCTGAAAACATCTGACGACCTAGGACCCTTACAAAACAAAGCACCTTGAGAGACTCAGACTCGTTATCTCGGCCTTATCGTCCTACAAATTCCAACTCCCATTCATGGTGTCCAAACACTTGTCTCCTACCGCCAGTGTTCGAGTCGAGAAAAAAAGGCGCGCATGGTTAATGCGCATGAAACGAAGGCCACGCGCATTTCCCGCGAATGCCCCGTGTCTCTTTCACCTCCTCCTCGGCCTTGGCTTCAGCCACATCTTCTTCCCGCCTGGCCATCCGAGTCATTCAGACACGATCCGACCAAACTCATCCGAACAAGTAGAAGACAATGGCAAATCCCATATCTGACCAAAAAAACACATCTCTCTATATCAAGTCCATCAATTGATATTTAGAATGTGTTTCAATCAAAGCACTTAGGTAAACTGCTTCTGCATCCTTCTCCCTGCGCTGCGCTCCAAAGGTGACAACCATGCCCTTCCAGGTCACGCGCTGGTCTTCTTGGCCTCTCAATCTCGTGCTTCAATTCCTCCAATGTGGCCGCCTGAGACCCCAAACCCCGCGGAGACCGTTGGCCCCAACTCCAAGGCGCGGCCGCTCTGTTCAGATCTCCCCAACGAAGTCGAAGCACCATTGTTTTACTAAGGGTTTTACTCTACAAAACCAGGTCAACCATTTTAAACATTGTCTTTGACTTCCAGGGTCTCTATATTTTCCTAACTCCTGAAAACTGGCAGCTAGTTCGAGCCTTGCCCCCCGATATTCTCTGGTGTCTGGAGGGTCAAGGTATTATGCATTTATGCCCCAAACTCTTGAATGTTACACACAGGAAGATTAACATGGACCTGAAAATGGACCAGACTGGAAGACCATTTCCTCTACAACCCAGTGGTGTTCAGCTTCCATCTGTCTATCTTCGGGCAAAGATGGGCTGCAGGGTCGCTCTTTCGGCATCTTTCGGCCAAGGAGTCGATCTCCCTGAGCTCATCCTCGCCTGCAGGTTCGGGCCGCCCGTACCTGGGAAGCAGTGTTCTGCAGGTGAAGAACTGCTGTTTCTCCACCAAAAGGAACAGAACCATGGGGGAACTCTCAGGAAGCCTCACTCCAACAAAGATCCTGCCCCCCAAACACCAGTACCAGAACCATCCGACATCGCTCCGACGCTGGGGCGTCGTGTGTGAAAGCTGTTCGGTTCGGTCCTCGCTCGGTCCTCGCTCGGCTCTTCTGGGATCGATGGGAGAACCACGATGGAACAGGAGTGGAACACCACGACGCTTCGACACTCCGAGCTCACATGGTTTTCGTGGAGAATGGCCGTAATACAAGTATGACCATGTTCCTCAACAGGGGGGCGATCGCCCACTTCCAGTTGCAGAGGAGAGGAGTAACTATGGGAAGCGTAAGCTACGCAGGGACACCTCAATAGGTGGAGGCCATCGCGGTAAGCTACGAAGCTACGTAAGCTACGAAGCTACGAACGGTTGGAGCATCCGTTGTCCAGTCCGTGATGGGATCCGTTGTCGTACCGACCGGACCCGACCCATGTCGCTCAGTGTCGAACAGTGAGCTATAACATCACCAAAACTCAGAGGATAGTGGATCCATAGAGAGTACTATCTGTATTCCGAAGAACCAAGTCATACCAAGTCCTGCTCTATCTATGTCCCTTTTAATCTGGTACTCATCATTCTGAACATATTATGTGCAATCGATTGAAATGGCACAGATATGCTTCTTCTATAATTACATTTGTGGTATACTTGTCACCGGACTGGTTCGTCTTGCCTTCCCAGTTCATCGAATAATGGCCTTCCCAGTCAAGCCACCGCAGTCATCCTGCACCCGCGCCACCAAATCCCCAAAAATTCTCTGGGGATCCCTGACTCTTTGTCTCCTCTTTCTTTTCAGACTTGGGTCGTGGCGATGTCTTTGGCCCCTTGCATCAGTGTGTGTCGCAGAAACCCCGAGATCCGTCGAAACCGTCGAGCTTTTCGCACCGAAGGCGTCGTTATGGGGGATTTGGGTGCGTTTCTGTTCAGAGATCCGTGGAAACCGAGGCGAAGCGGTCCACGCGCCGCTTTCTTTCTGCCGTCTATAAAAAGGGCCGTTGTTGGTATATGGTCAATGGGCGACATCCCGATGGTCAAAGCAAAGGGATTTGACGGCCCAACCACTGCATGTGCTCTTTTTCGACGAACACCTCCCTTAGAATCGCCCATCAGTGGCTGAACGGTTCTGCGCAGGCAACTCGAGGCAACTCCTGCCTCACCATACTTCTTCTTCAGCAGCCGAACCATGGTCGGAAAGTCCTTCTTCCAGGTGGCATGACAAAAAACACATGCGGGCCATCTGCAAGAGCCATGCAAGATCTCCTCACTCAATGCTTGCCTATAACACTCTGGAGATGGGTTTTGTCTCAATTCCAGATCCTCCAGACTGAGGCCATGACATGTCGCTTCCCCAAACACGATCCTCGACGTTAGGTCCTTGCTGTTCTTTTGCAAGATCGTGTCGATACTCTCTTTGGATGCTTTGGCAGGATCGTGCTTGTGATAAAACTCCTGCCATGGGCTCTGCCGGCTATGTTACTTGCGAAGTCAGATTTCGAGTGTGACAGGGACATCCACTTTGCACATCACCTATCCAGTGTTTGACAGGAAGATACGAGATTCTTTGGCGGTCAGTTCTTCAAGGGTCAAACTACATTACCATGATTGCCCGAACCCCAAGATTGCAAAAAGCAATAGTAACTAGTAATGAATGTTGATTTTAAAAAATCTAGCATACCAGAATGGTTTTCCATCTCAAGTAGGGAGGTTATTGATCAACAATCGACATTATAGTTTATTTCTCCGTACGAGTCGCTTGAATAGTTTGCCGACAAACTTCAAACGCCACAAAGTAAATCATATTTTCACACTTCTGACATATACTTGTCATGGTGTCCATCATCTTATCAAGATGAACCACAATGAACAGTCTTATCAACATGAACATGACTGTCATCCCTTGACAAATGTTGACTTTTATGGGCCACCAACCCTTTCTGGCGAAATCTTCCACTGATTTCCAACACAGGAAGCAAACTTGGATTTGATCCTGGAAGCGAACGGAACAACACGTCACACACATTTCCCAGGTTTGGGGGTTGACCGAAGCGGGATGGCGATGGATACATCACCCGAAAACTGCCAAACATGGCAAAACCAGGACCGCGAGGTTGTTCCAGCGTGCCAAAGACTCCGTTTAAAACCCTTCCAAACCCTTGAGGTCAAGAAGAGTGTCTGATGAGTGTGTTCCGGGTGTTGCAAACAACTTCACTTCCCTTGGCAAGAAGTACCAAGTAGCAAAAGCAAGCGGAGGCTGTGGCGCCTTCACAGCAGGAGAGCTGAAGGACCTTCCAAAATTCCTGAAAGCCTAGCGCATGTCTTTTCAGATCTTCCTCCGTTCCTCCTTAGACTCGGATCTCCAAACAATTAGGAACAAATAAGTCCAGAAAAAACAAATAAACACCCATGCGCCGCTCATGCCCCAAAACCATCCACCGTCATCGCACCGTCATCGCACCCGTCTCCTCGAGCGCCTCCCGCGTCACGACGATGTCGTCACGATCCGCCTGGGACGAGGACGAACGATCAAAACCACTGGTCATTGGCTTTTCATGAAACGTGGGGGGGTCAAAAGGGATTATAATGGATTATGATGCTATGACATGCTATGATCATATCCATCTACAATCTTCACAGCACTTCTTACTTAATCTACACCTCTATAGGCAACAATCTAGTTGTCCACCATCATCTTTCTGTGGGTTGTTGCTCAATTCCTCTAGCCCGTTGAATTCTTGGGGTCTTGGATGCTTCATTCAAGCATAATATATTTTCTGGAGATCGCGATATGGCTGCATAATAATGATTGGTACCTACCTAGATTCGTATCCGCTTTCCAGAGTTGTTTTCAGACAGTCACTAAGGAAAAGAACTCCTTTGAACGATCATGATCCTGGATGATCCTCTGCTCCAAGTGGGCTTCAATGCATCTTTTCAACCCCAAACCCGAACATGCTTGTGGACTCTGCTTACATCAACGAAGAGCAGGGTGCAGCAACAACAATAAGAACATGAAGAAGATTAAGATTAAGAGGACGGGGGAGAAGAAAAAAAACATAATAAAATACGGCCGCGACCGCCACCACCAACACCAAACCAGCCACAACCAACAACTAACAACCCCCACTTGGCAAAAAAGAGAAACGCTTCCCACTCATTTGTCTCATCGGTCCACCTCATCGACCAGCTTCCGAGTCCATTCCCGCAAGGAGTACCTCGTGAAACTCACAAGACGCACGCCTCACCAAGCGGAAACCACGTTCAAACAACCAGGATAGCTTGAACATGGGATGGCAGCTTTGACAGTACATGCGCAATCAACTCTTCTAACACATTTTAAGTTCTTTTAAACTCCTTTGACAATGGTCCATAGATCATCATGCTTTAACATAACTTCACATGTTCCGGGCTTGGCTGGGAAGGAAGATGAATGAAGTGTTCAAGATCGAAACCCTAAAAATTGATCTAATATGGGGAGTTTTATCAAGCAAGAATCGACAGTGTCTTCAATTTTGCTTTCCCCAGCCTGGTTGTGGTGGTCTAACATCAATCCACGGTCACATTGTTCTAGCTGTTGGTCTTCGTTGCTCGGCTTCACTTCATCGTTCTACATCGGAGCTGGACGGCGGGACGAGTGCGACGAGTTGCCTCATGCAAGGACGTACAACATCCAGTTGCTCTCCCATTTCTAGTTATAGCCACTCCGAGACCCTGTAGAGTCCTACATCCTTCCACCACCCTTCCACCCTCTTCTCACCCTCCGCCCACCCTCTTCTCCGCGCCCGGCTGACGTCACTCGGTGGCGGCTCGTGGGGATCGGGTCGAGGCCGAAGCCGGCGACGGGGGGCACTCATCCGCGCCAGAGAATTGGTGCCGCTTCTTGCCGCGGAGCCAGAATTGAAATGTGGGCATGGAACCTGAGGGTAGCGACGCGACGAGTAAGTAGCTCCTGGCACATATCACTACTAGGAACAAGGACACTACTAGTAACTAAGGGCATCGCTAGAAAGAAACACCAAGAACATCTGGACAGGTCGGGTCACTGGACCAAGATCTAGAGTTCCTTTTGTGTTTGACAAAATGAAACATGAGCTGGAAAAGAGCCTCACACAACCCTTTAGATATGGAATATTTAACATACATACAGCAAGGACGCTACTAGTAGCTCCTGGCCTTACTACTAGTAACAAGGACACTACTAGGGGCTCCTGGCATCGCTACTAGGAGCAAGGACGCCACATGGAGTGTCTGGGTGTGAGTTTCAGGTGCTTCAACGGGCCCTCTATGTCTTTTGCTTCGCAGCTTGGCAGAACTATCTTTTGAGGCGGTCCAAGTGATTTGTAGCCGATTCGGCATCTTACTCTTATGCCCAAAAGGAATTACCAAGACCAATACATGTTCAAGCCAAACCCTATAGTCCCACGGAGTGTCTCGGCCAGTTCTTCAGAAGGAAGTCTGAGCTCTCCACAATCAAAATCACCCGCTCGTCTGATCGCGACACCCGGGCACCGTGAACTTGACTCTTACATACTCTTACTACTTGCTTCAGGACCCTTTCTTTCATTCGAGTCCGCCCTCGTTTTCGATCCCAACAAGCACCCAAAGGAGTCGACCGCCCGAGTCCACGAACGACGCCGGCCAAAGGGGCCCCTGGTCAGAACACATCTGCCGAACCCCCCGAACCCCCCCTGCCGAAGATGCCAAGGTGCGGATGCCCTGCTGACTTGCCAACTGATGATTCTTGCCCACATCCACCTGGTGCTCACCCGGTGGCGCTTGCGATTTCGCGAGGGTCGAAAATAAATCGGTTTTGGTGTAGCGACCCGGGAGTGCCCTGCGAGTGGAAAAAGGATTGCCAGAATCTCGTTCTGGAATCTGCTCTCAGTTGGCCCGCCCTCAAAAAGATTCAAAGCTTGCTGTTGCGAGCCAAACATCTTCAGGAAGAGATCCACTTCATCTGTAGTGGCAACCCCAGGTTCCGAACGTGGCCCGGCACTGGGACATGTATATCGATATTCTTTTTTTTCAGCTTCGAGCCCAGTCACAGAAAACGCCTATATATTCCATGCAGGGATCGCCCTATGGCCCATGGATTTGCCTTTGAAGCCTGGGAGAAAAATCGAACAATCTTCCCCAAATTTGGGGATGTACTCAGTTAGGGAAAAATAACAAAAAATCAACTGAAAACATCTGAACACCGCTAAGTAACCAGGTACTGATGCAACCGGGATCCGAACACTTGAGCAACCAACCAGAGTCGAGTCAGGAGGAGGATGGAAGGATGAGCATGACGATGGAAGGCTGCCGGGATGATTCACGTATTTGGAAGTTGTGGACCAGAAACAAGAAAATGGCAGGCCCGGCAATCCACTTGAATCCAAGCAAGTCTGTGTGCAGGCAATGCTCATACGTAGTGGACAATATGATGGGCCAACACATGACCGATCGGCCGAATTGGGGGTGCCTTTCGGAAGTAGGCTTTGCCGGCAAAGTCCTTGGAGATCTTGCGGAAGACCGGCGCGATCATGTGGCAGGGACCACAAGACATGCCTCGGCGTGAGTGTGCTCTGGTGTTTGGTGATTTCATATGATGATACTTCCACTGATCTAGGGGGGTTCGCCACTTTTGACGATGTAACCCTGTTCCAGATCTACATACTGGATCCTTTTGGCCCATCGCAGGCAGAGCATCACTTGACACCATGTCGTGCGTTATAAGAAGAAGATCTCCAACCCCAAGGGGCCTTGCCTCGCCAGCTACGAAGATCCCCACAGCGGTGCCAAGTGACTATAGAAGTCCAGAATAATGGGTCGGCCATTGGCTTCCGCGAGCAGATCCTTGAATTCCTGCAGCTTTCCGAGTCGGGATTTCCGCGGTTTTGTCCGATCCATTGGATCCATGCAGTGGTTTCTATATGGGGTCTTTGCTGAGATGTTACTTAAGTAAGTTATCCTCAAGCACTCTATGTATGGAAGACGGAATATATGCCTATTATACCCCCCAAAACCACCGCAATGTAGATCAATACATGAAGTGTCCGGGTATCTACCATGCTTCTTGACTACCAGGATGCTCCATCCAGGATCCTCCATCATCCATGGAGCAAATCTTCCGGAATCGTTGAACAAATCTATGTCACAAAGCTCGATAGCTCGCTCGACAGATTTTGAACCCAACCCAGCACTCGAACAAGGGGCTAAGCCAGTGTGGTCGGTAGCAAGAAACTATATCCGTTGGAGGTGCAAGAAAAAGTATGTGCAGAATGGGCACCACATCACCAAGTGGCATAGTGACAAACATATTGGAATCATTCTCCCAGCAGAACTCCAATGTTTGCACTTGGGTGAGCAGACCGCTCCTGGTGGCAAAAACTGGAAAGACCTTTGAAAACCGGTCTTCAGCAGTTCAGGCTGAAGTCTTTGGGTGAGGAACCCTCAAGATAAGCCAGCAGGATGAGCCGAAGCTCGTCTTCAAGTCGAAGACGGGCTGGAGCACGGCACGAGCTGGAAACAGCTTCACTTGGCAAAAGATACTGTCAAAGGTAGCAAAACAGATGGCCTCCACCCTACTAGCGATGGCCTCCAACCTAATAGCGATGGCAAAGGATACTGTCAGAGGTAGCAAAAAGCACATCATGCACCTGCGCTGTAAGCAGTCTCTTTGTGTTGCCTCCTCTGTGGACATCACATGGGGATCATTTTGCGGTTGTGGGGTCCCTGAATGAAAAAAAGACATCAACAAATGGTGTGCTGTACAAGGACGAACATGAGATATGGTCAAATACACCCGGGAACAATTAGCATGCAATGCAATGCAACCTGAAAATAGACCTTTGGAAGACTATTTTCCTAAATCTTCCAGGGCGTATAGCCCTCTCCCGTTGATTTCGACCAAGGTCTGACCTGCCGCGGAAAAGAAAGGTGAACCGAGGGGATGGTCGACCATCGTCCTCCTACCTAGACGGGCGGCTTCGTCAGACCCTCAGTCGTGTGAATGGTGTCTTGGGCCCTTAAGAGCATCTACCGAAAAGAGTGAATCATATAGGTTCATCTATGCGGCAATGCGACTCCTGTCTTTACAATGACAACCTGGAAACGACGGTCCCGAAACAGTTCGAACCCACAGGTTCGTTCACTTGCTAGAGATCATGTACCGAAGTGGCTGCTAAGCGAAACATCCGTTTCTGTGACTGGGTTTCCAGGAAGGCAATGACATGTCCCTGGGAGTCAAGTCGACTATTAAAAAAATGGTCTGACAAGGGGACCTGAGTTCGGGAACTTCCTTTACTTCAGCCGGTCAAAATAGTCGAACTGGACTTCTAGGGATATAGTACACACCCCTTCATGGCAAACCCGTACCAACTCCTCCATGGCAGTCGCACCTGGACACCAACCGAAATGCACGGGGGAAAACGGACCCGGGTTCACCAAACCAAAACCTATGTATTTGAGGGCCCGGATTCTTAGGGCATGACACATATCCAAAACACACCACACCAGCATAACATATGACTCTTCCGGGTCCTAAGCAAACGGTCACAAAAAGGGCCTCTCTCCAAACGGCAGTTTCCCAGTTCAAAGCACCTTGGCCGTGAAAAGCTCTTTCACGGCGGCGCTGGGCCTCGGCGTTTCGGCGTTTCGCGCTTCGGTTCGGCGTGGAGAGGTTTGGGCCGCGCACGCGGCGGAAACGGTGCAATTGTATTGGCTGTATCTGGACCTGACTTCAAGTACAAATGGATCATGACACTCAAAAAACAGGTACCAGGCACTTCAAAGCGGACACATTTGGAGGTCACTTGGGCACTCACGTATGTATCAGGGTCACGTATTGAAGGGCCTAGTATACCCATCTGAGGCGCTTGGAGGCTCCAAGTACTGTCTCAGAGCAGCGAACGGTGCACAACATCCCACGTGGTCCACCAGTCCGGAAAATGCAACATGCAAAGGAAAAAAGACAAAGAAAAAAAAGAACATGAACGAACTAACATAGTTAAACATAATTAGTTAGACCATCTAATTGAGCTCTATTGAGTGTTAAAGAATGTTTAAAGTTTACACAACATAGATGCCATGGTGAATCCATACTGCTCGGGCGACTCGCGAGCGCCCAAGGCATCTGGAGAGGAGTAATTCCTTTGTAAAACTCTATGATCGGAGTTGTATCGATAGGAAAACTCTATCATTCTCAATTCATCGATAGGTTTTCATCGATAGAGTCTGTTCATCGATATGGAGGTCGTGTGATAGGACTGTTCCTTTGTACCCTCCGTTACACATCACACATCACTTAGGGAAGTGGAAGGCCTTTGGGCGCCTTTGGGAAGACGATGGTCCTAAAATAAAAAACAAGGAAAACGCATGGGTGGACCATCCACTAGCTTCCATGTGATGTGTTGTCACATCAGAGTGTAGCTCTTCCAGTGCTTTCATGCGTTTTTTGGAAGACGAAACAAGGTCGTTGGTCGCACGAGGTCGCGACACCAGCAGCACCAAAAGTGTCCAAAGCCTCATGGCCTGCAGGTCACATAGAATTGTAACATACAATAACATACATGGTATGCAAAGTTTGTACTAACACCACAACATATATGCAGTGCGCAGCATGCATCATTCCTGATCAGTGTGTACTCTGCTGTTGATACATTGACATGATGATACACAAACATCATAGAACCTGGAGATGGATCTCGGTCGTGAACTGAAAAGTCCCTTTTGAAGAAGTCCTGCCTTTTTGCATGCCAATATCACATTCAAAGTGCTCGTATCCAAAACGTTGGCCCAGTAAAACATTTGATGATCTGAGTGAAAGATGTGTCATCGCCATGAGTTGCTGCGAGATGGTCAGGATTGACAGTGCTCTTAGGCTCTTAAGTCATACCCTAAAACATCCTAAAACAGTTTTTAGCATGCAAATCACAACGTGCTTTTTGTATGCTCTGTTTCCTCCGCTTCTATATGACTGGAGAATAGCCGAATTTTCTTTCTTGCCCTCTACTTCAGGATTCACCTAGCTCCCAACTGTGTGGAACTGTGGAGTAACTCAGTGGAATTGGATAGCTAAAGTCACGATCTCAGAAGTCGGCGAAATGCAGAACTCCCCTTCCAACTTTATTTTACATGTCCTGTAAACAAAATGAAACTAATAGCGATGGCCTCCAACTTGATAGCGACGGCCAGCGATGGCTCCAACCTAAGAGCGATGGCCTCCAACCTTACATTTAAACATCGCTGACATTCAAATCCATCCATCCTTCGACCGATGAAACACACTTTGACTCTCGGCCTGTCGACGGCTGGATGGCCGCCGGCCGGGGTGTTTACCTGGGCATGGCACATGCGCGAACTGTTGTGGTTTTGACAAGGAAAAGGCCGTGGTTCTTGGTTCGGAAAATGGTTTCTAGCTGTAAGGGTGTTCCTGGTCACCAATTTCAGCACAGCTGGTTGTGGTCAGGGAAGTCAAACATGTCTTACTAGCCGCCAGGCTAGCATGAAACCAAGTGCTCTATGCAATGTCAGGACCCCACATTTTGTTACCAAATCCCACATCTGAAGGAGCGGCGTCGGTTCCTTTCGACCATCGAATGGAAACCATGACCATCAACCCTTTCAAAGCATCTTCCCCTTTTTCATGCCATAAAATCACCTCCTACCCTAAGAATCCTTGGGCCCTCCATGGCAGAGGTCGGACCTTCTCCCGACACCTTCGCAGGGGTCCGGACCCGGTTCTCAAACCCTACGTCTTGCTGGTAACGGGGCGCGGAGTAATGTCGGGTCACGGGGTAATGTCATAAGGATTTATTTGGCCAATCTTTCAGTCGCATGAGTTACTTCCTTTTCCAGTCGACCATTCTAGGTTGGGCCCTTTGGTTCGGATCGTTGGCCCCTTTGGGACCCAGGGTGCGAAGTTCGGGACCCCAGGGTGCCAGGTCTAAGTCAAAAGGAAAGACGTTTTCAGGGAAGAAGAACCGAGAAGAAGGGACCTACCAGGACCTGGCATCACCATCCAGATTTTTCGATCCATGAGTGTAACGAGTGGACCAAATCTGAAAGCTTTCTCAACCAGGTAAGTGGCCGTCCAGATCTGGCCACCTGCTATAGCGCTACTAGTAGCTTCTTGCTACTAGTAGCCATGTAATGGCCATGGCCTCCAATCTATAAGGTCCTTGCTACTAGCATAAAGTGATTCAGATCTGGGAACCTGGGGCCTGTTGGTCTCTCCCCAGCCGAGAGGCCCTTCATCTTCCGTTTTCCGAACTCGTGACCCAACGACCCATCGCCAGGTAGCCCTGGCTTGCCTGGTTCACTTCCGTTTTGAAGGTGGGTCAGGGGTGGGTGCCAGGAAAGTTCTAACCACCGAGCTTGAGGATCTGCGCGGTACGTTCGGTCGGACCCCCGACTGTCTTGCGACCGTCGCCCGTGTCTGGGTGTCCACACTAAGCGACTATGGTTTGTATTTGAATAGGGGGACCCGGGGACCCCCCTGGCCCCATGGAGTTCATCTCTTTTTGATTTTACCAGAGGTCTGACTGGTGGGAGGTCTCCCTATCAAAATATGAGTACTCATGTTTGCTTTTGCACACACAGTCCTTTGGTGAGGGGCAGTCAGTCAGTCAGTCAGTCAGTCGGCGTTTCAGCTGCTACGTATAAGGTATACGACACTGTTTTTCTGCCTAGGTGCGACCCGAAAGGAAAACTGTCTGGGCTGAACCCTTGAGCTTTGAGCCAAAGGCAGTTGTTTGTTTTCAAGACGCAGCATGTGGTGCTGGATAAAAGACTAGGACTCCAGTGCGACATGATGCCAAGTAAAATGTAATACATATATAGTCCTCAAAAGAAAACACATGAATGAATCTGAATGAATCACCTGCTTCCACGGATCCAAGAAAAAGCATTTTTAACAGAAGTTCTTGGTGGACTTGGTGAACAGCCGAACGCGATTCAGGTCAAAGGTTGTCCTATTCTCGATCTCGAGCCATGTAGAAGCGGCCTGGCCGACATTTCAAATCCATGATACTGGATGATACTGGTAGGTTCAAATCCCTACGAAAACATTTGCAGATGTCATGGCCGCTCAAATGAGCATGTGACATGTCTTTCGCAAGGACGTCTACATGCTCAGTGGAATGGACCTTGCGGCGCCCGTCACACCATCCAGTACAGCGACCCTTGACTTTCACGTCAGGCAAGACGCGGGACCACGTCGACCTGCGGTCTCTGGGGGTCTCTGGTGAGTCGCAGCTCGGTGCACCGGTAGCGATGTGGCGAGTTCGCCCGAGCTGTGCAAGAATAGTTGGTATAGCTGCCTGCTTAGGTCAACACCCTGCTTGGTGATCTTGTCATCCTCGTGTACACAATGGTGTAATACCGTTCATGGGCGGCAAATTCACCTTTCCGCAGCCGGTGTTCGCAGCGCTGACAGGGAACGTCTCTGTACAAGTGGTGCCCCGCGGCGCCGGCACGGCGCAGCGCGCAAGCCACAGCGCGCCACAGCGCACTGTGACGTGAGAGATAGGCAAAACAACTGGTGCGGCATGCATTCAACAGGAGAGGGGTGCAGATCTGCTTTCGTTGGCCACCTGGAGAATTTGACGAGACAAGGATTGATTAAAGCAACTTGTATACTTTCATGTTCAGAAAGACAGGTGAAACATAGATCATAGGGATAGACTAAGATCTGTGCTTTGGAGGTATCTACGAGGAACATACTGGAGGAGGCTGTGTTGATTTCCTAATGGTTTCCCTGGACAATACTTCAACCTTGTCCATCTGCTCGGAAAAAAGCACATATCACTTACTATTTCCCTAGAACCAAATAGAAACAACTATTTCTCATCCATGTCTCATATGTCAATCTAATGTTTTACACCCGTGAAACGGGTCAAGTCTATATAGAGGAAACTGGTGAAGTCAGTACACCATCATTGCCCCCCGTCAAACAAACTCGGGGTTCCCACAGACCGGTCTAGGCAGCCCAGCGCGTATTCTCGGCGAAAGGGTTTCGTTCGAATCTTCAGTGTTTCAGCTGGTGTTTCGTTGGCAGCCCAACCCATCTTTTCGTGTCTTGGCACCTAGGGGGGGGTCCATCTACCATCAGGCTGGTGCAACTTGGACATTCCCTCGAACCTTGGAGCTCCACTGGTACCGGAGAATCCCGTAGAACGAGCATCCCCGAGCTCCGGAGCGGAAAAGCACGTTTGGGCGGCACCGAGATGACCACAGGGACTCTTCTGACGCAAAGAAGACCACTTCTGTCGTGTCCTTTGGAGCCGCTTCAACCATGTTTACACCTTCTTCTAAGCATCAGAACATAGCAGAACATAGCAGAACACAACAAACATACAACATCCTGATCAGTCCTTTCGACACACCCCCATCAGAGCTACCGTACATGGTCCAGGTGTTTGGAACATAGACCAAACACTTGAACGCACCGAAGGGAACTTGGGAACGACGTCCCTTGGTGACTTCTCTTTGGTGACCGAGGCAAAAAACATCTAGCATCTGGGTTGCTTCTAAGTATATAATTAGAAAACAAATACCACATTATGATGCAATTCCCTAGGATTCCAATCACCATTGATGTATAAATGAATTTTTCTGAGGATTTGAGACTACCAACCAGGTCAACTCTTCCTTGAAGAGTCCTTAACTAGAGGTATCCAACTTGTCATAGTTCAACTCTGCCAGTGCAGCACACCCTCTGCCAAGCACTGCTTAGTCAATCACGCCAGAACGGCCACCTCAGCGGTGCCGGTGCCACCGGTGCCGTCCGGCGCCCCGCCGACGTCGAAGAGTTCCAAGGAAGTGGCCACCAAAGGAGCAAAACACACTTCTGAAGTAGACATGGACACTGCCACACTGCAAGAAGTCAGTTCGAGCACTCTTTTTTCCTCTCAGCTCAGCACATACTGCGCCACGAAGGCAGGATATGCCTGCTCCTGTGTAAAGACCACAAACTCCTGGTGTGTTTGCCAGCCACTGCTGTGATTCGTCATGGGCCCCGCGTCCGCCACGGTGGAGTCGTAGCGCTCGAAGAGGTCCCGCGCCGGCGGACGGCGGTCCGTGCGCTTCACGGTCTCTGTGGCGTGATGCGCATCGCCCACGGCCACGCGAGCGAGGATCACCGTCCTGGAGGACCGAGGGGAGCGAGGTGGAGGGTCATGGGTGGGTAGATGATGGGTCTGGACTGACGGTTCGCAAGTGCCAAAGATATAATTAACAAGATATTCTACAGTATTATGTGTTTTGTTTTGTTTGTGTGTGTGGTTCGCACTTGCGGATACTGGAAGACTCACTTCGAAATTGTGCACAGGTTGAAGCATTGGGACTTGCAAGACTTCAAAATACCAAAAGTGACGGGCGTTGATAACTAAACCCCTCGCTACCAGAATGGTTGTAGGTCTAGAGTGGGGTTCCTAATTGTCAACGAATGGCAAATTTTCAACAAGGCCTGCCATCTGCCAGTTGAGTTGAACAAGTTGCCATGTACCGGGTCCTTTCGGTCTTGCATGCGCAGCCCTTGCTATAGCCCGACCAGGGTTTGTGCTGCTGGCACGTGTACTGATGGCTTTTGCACGCGCTGGCCGCAAAGTACACGCCGCCGCCGTAGAGACCCCGGGCAGTGACGCGAGGGTCAAAGCCATGCATGATGATGGAGTGGGCGTTCTCGTAGGAAGTGCCTGAGATGAAGGCAGCGAACCTGCCGCTTCCCAAGGCATTTTCAGAGTAATATCCTTCAACAAACAGGAATGGTCTTTTCAGGTGACATTTTGCACTTCCACGGATTCTTGGAGGGGCCGGGCCCACAACTGCATCTGCCAGTCTTATGCTTGCATCGATCCTATCTGAGCAAACAAACAAACAAGGAGTATCATGGGATATCAAATCACAACATCATAAAGTGAACATTTACACTACATGGGTATATTGGTGTGTATTTTATGAGGGAGATCCCCAACCAATTGGTTTTTGTCTGTTTTCCTTCTTCCAGAGTGTGTTTGGGTCTCCCTATTATAATGCACACTCAAATGCATACTGCATACCCTTCATTACCCTTCTATAGTGGAACGCAGGAGGTGCCCCGACATCAACCCTTCATCCGTGTCTTTAGCTCCCAGCAATCTTGTCCCAGTGACCGTGCAGCAAAATCTTCTCATTGAGTCCTGCTTCTAAAGGCTCTTGGCAGCAAAACGCCGATTGCGTGTCAGGATGTCCCAAGAAATTTTTGGCGTTGAAGGGCGCCTCCTCCACCTGTCAAGATGCTTCACGGTGCATTGGGTGGAGATGCTTCGCTTGTACGTGATGGTCAACCCGCTGATCAAAGGGCCAACCGGCTATTCTCACGAACTGGATGTACTGTTGTGCAGTTGTAAACATCCAAGACAAAAACTCACCCCTCCTCCTACCGGAATGGTTCGACATCTCCATATATAATAGGAGGCTTACATTCATCGTGAATGTATCCCATTCCCTGCAACGGTGGATGATGGTTCAGTTACAGGCCGGCATCTCTGAAATCGCGTGATAAGACCTTTTTACCCATGGCTCTACAGGTAATGGGAAGGACTCCTAAGTCTACATAAAAAATCATAAAACACTTTAAGTTGAGTCGGGACAGACCCTAAGTCTGCATAAAATAATACTTTACGTCTACCCTAACTCTACGTAAGTTGGGACGGACTGAGATCCTACATCAGAGGTGGCTCTTTCAGATCCAGTTTACGTGGGACCCACAAGTACAGGCTGCTTACTTCACAAGTACGTGAGCCTGCAGGTAGAAAAACCCTTCGCCGGCCCACCTGCAGCTCTGCTCGAGCGTGAGCTTTGCGCATCATCTCCCTCCGGGTAGAGTAGAGTTGCCACAAGTGAAAGTTCTCGATGCGATGCAAGGAGATCTCAGAGAGCTTCAGCCGACCGATGCAAGGATGCAAGGAGAGCTTCAGCCGACCCCGGACCGTGAACCCGACCGTGAACCAACTCAAAAAAGGTCCAGCTCGCTTCGGAGGATACCACGATGGGGGGCGCTCCTGTTCGGTCAGCCGAAGCCGGGAGCTGGGGAGGACTTGTTTTGAGAACATCAGCGACTCTTGCGGGTGTTCCTCGACCTGACTCGTTAACCAGAGACTCCACCTGACTTATAGCGACCAGGCCACGGAAAGAAAGAAAACCCGATTCTTCAACTTGACCCAACTGGATTCCCAGGTTGCCTCGCTGAAAAGGAGAGAAAACACCCACACTGGATCTTCCAAAGAAAAGGCTGTCTGCCCTTGGCTGGTTCGACCAAACGACCAAACCAGACCTCGACAGACGGTGCGGCCAAGGTCACGAGGCGTGCGCTCGCCAGACTGACGCAGGTGCAGTGATCCAAAGGCTCGGTCAAGATTTGTTGAACGTAGTTCAAAGTCCTTCGGATGAAAAGCAATATGTATATCTCCTTAAGGTTCGGATCTGTTTATTTCATATATGACTATAATTAGATGGTTATATTTTGCGAATGGAAGTGCAACGACATGTACAGTGCAACATGTACATATATATATGTACCATATGTACTTTGGCTCAAGGATTAAGCGACTAGAAAAGGTGCGGTTCCCGTTCCGACGCTACGCCGCTTATGGACCGTCAGTGATAGCTTCAAACTACGCTGATTAAGATCCACTCGCATATTTATACCTAGGTATCCTAGGTGTCCTATCCATTGATGTATGGACTTATATATTGACCTTAAAAAAGTAGGATCCTTATATATATATAATATCTTGAAATCACCCCAACTGATCGGCACTGACCTTGCCAGTACCATGGATCTACAGATATACACGTGTTTCTCTTGCAAGCACGACACGGCAAGCATTCATCTACACACATCTCATCTGCCAAATACCTCTGGTCTTTGCTAGAACACCATCTGTCACATCATCAGTCTCCTCTGTAGGGAAAAACAAAGTCGTCCCAAAACTACTCAGTAGGGGTGTTTGTTTTGGGGATCCATGCTATCACTACCCCATCGACGCACGCCGTCAATCCTCCCTCCGACCCGGACCCAGGCCTGGTATCAGTGACCTCCACGTAGAAGGGGGAACTATTCGTCTGCTGCCGAAGCAAATAGCGATCCGTATTCCACCCGTTGGGCACTCCCAGATCCAAGCGGATTCGGCGTTTCTTCTTCGTGTCCTTGACTGGTCAACGCATCAGGTGCAAAAGAGAAATCTTGTTCCGTCAGCCTTAATTCAGCGAGAGGGAGGACTTCTCGATTGGTCGGGTGTTTCTTTGTCATGGACCTGGCAAAAATGACCCAAACATACCCCAAAGCATCCCTTGATGAGGGTGTTCCGCAGGAAGTCCAGTTGCCGGGCTGTCCTCTCAGAGACTCTCCCGACTGCCCTCGCACCAGTTGCGCAGCAGTTCACTGTCCCCCGACGTCCCAGTCCCAAGAGTTTCTGTCCATGTTCAGGGCAGGCGGCTAGATTCACCTGCTGCATCAACTGGAAGTCAACCTCAGCAAACTGACGCTGCGTGAGTGTTCTGTTTCTGCAGCGTCAGTACTTGCTGTTCAAACCACCTTTATGCGCATGTTGTGGCTTGCTTGTCCTGAAATGAGAAACCAATGAAATGGACAGCCAACGATGGTGCAAATGTCAGTCACACAACGGCTTTCTTGCCATATGTCTTCCAAGATCTTTGGCTTAAAATGGCTTCTTGCTTGGTGTAGCATCCCGCTAGCTACGTCAGCTACGTCAAGTGGCCCTAAATGAAACGTTTTCTCGTGCGGTGCTTGGCGTTTTTTGGTCCCGCTGTCTATCAACCCCCCCAGCCTCAAACTGATAGCCGACTCTTCCACAAATGGGACCCCAACTGCTTCATTGATCCAATATGATCCAATGTTTCGTGACAATTCGAGGGTTTTGGTTGGTAGTAGCCTTAGCCTTAGCAGCGATTAGTGGACAGAACTTGGTTGCCTGCCTTCAAATTGAACAACGTCAACCAATGTATATTTGGCATATTGTATAAGTAAATTCCTTGAGTGCTTGGGATATAGAACACCCTTTTTGAAGGCATTTATCTGACATCTGGGATCTGATATCGACTTGAACTACTCGACTTGAACAACCGCTATGACCGCTACTGTATTCAAGCCTGGGCACCGTCCGTGAGATGCCGCAGGAGACGATCTGAACAAATCGCTGGCCGTGCTCATGCCACGCTTGAAACCTCACGTAGATCACACGCGAGTCGGATGACGTGGAGATTAAGAAGAACCAAAGACGGCATCATATCAACTGCCCAAAGGTTTTCAGAACCTTATTGTATATGTAGACTATCCCAGTTGGGTACATCCCCAGTGTTGGTGGGTCCTTTTTTCAGGTCACTTATATATATATTTTAATACTGTATCTTGGATGCTGATTAGTAAAAGGGTCCTCTATTTTAATTCTGAACACCATGTTTGCTTAAGGGTCCTCTATGCTATTTTTTTGGGGTCCTATTTTTACTATCTGGAAAATATATTGGGTTTTAAATTCTGAGCCCTCGCATATTGGCTTGCTGATAATGATGTTTAGTTATAGGTTTCTCTAGACTCTAGTTCTTCTTCAAACCCGACAGCTTTCCAAAGCCATCAAATCCTTAATCATCCTTAATCAATCCTTTATGTAAAGATTGCTCCTAAACACATTTTCAAGGTAGTAGACCAGCAAGGCCCTTGATCATCAATAATAAGTTTGTCTTAAGGGTCCTCAAC